TTCAAATTTAACTCGAAAATTTCGAGGCTCGTTTTAAGAGTGTCCTTGACAAAAAAATCTTATCTAGCACCTAATCTTGTTCCATTTAAAGCTGCAATATCTATATCAAAACCAGCAAACTCACATGCCCCAATAGCAATCCTACGCATTACCTTTTTTCCAATTGTTTTGATTTGACTCCTGGTAAAGGATATCCAGTCAGACGGTCAGCCGTGGTTAGCTAACAAGAAGGCCGGGATAAGCTAGTTTTTCTTATAACACACTTTTTAATTACATCTCCGTAAATAGGACAAGCTTTATTGCCAAGGTAGGCCTAAACATCACTAAAGCTCTTTATTACAAACGACAATTATCACTCTTAGGTTGCCTACGTGCTTCATAGTGGCTGAGCACTTTCGGTAGTATCTTTAACCTGTGCTCGTTGCAGGATTTTGTTCAAACAGAAATCACTAATGACAACTTGCACAATCGAATGAGTTTACAGTAGGGCAAGTGTCGTGAAGACAAGCTACACTCTTTCTTTCTACAAGGGCCAGGGTCAGTAAGCACAATAAAACGCGGCATGTTTACTGACCAAAGCGGATGCAGTTTAAGCAGAACCGTGATCGAGCATTTGCATCAGAACCACCTACAGAACCAACTGCAATAAGCCTGGTTTTTGGTCACAATTATTTCCACTCATAGACGGGTTTATTATGTTTAGCTGCAAGTCCTGTCTGCCCGAGTTTGAAATCGCAGTTGTTCTTTGGTTAGACAAATTGCCACTTCCTTCCTGCGAGCTCTGTGTACCCGGGTTTATTGGTTTATAGCGCTAGTTAGTTGCTTTTGCTCCTTCAGTTATCAGCTAACGGACTTTAGCTGAAGTTCAGGATCAGAGCCTGCTTGGCATGAGGCATTTTTCAGCATTTTCTATCATCACCACTGTCCATTTCAGTTTACATCGCCCTACATATATACAAAGAAGTCTTTTCCTATAATTTTCTTTCACCAAATTTCTTCATGCTTGACTTATGTTGTCGGCATTTTTAAATTGAAATAACCGGCCGCATAGCCAACAGTTTGATGCGTGCGTTTTTAACTTTAGCTGCGGTTTGTCCGTAAAAAGTCTACCACAAAAATGTCTTTAAGATATTTTGAAGGGTTTTAAAGAACATTTTTTATGGTTTAAAATATAGCCTGGTAATTTAAAGGGGATTGAATATTTTCATTTAAATAGATGTCGATTGTGAATTTTCCATTAAAAAGTTGCAATATGTCACGTATAAGAGCAATTTACAATGCAATTGAATTTGTTAGACGTTGTTTTGATAACGTTAGTTTGTTAACTGCTATATTTCACAATCAGGGCCACTTTAACAATTAATGATCTAGTGATATGCCGGTGGGTGGAAGAGGTCACCCAGCAGCTCGATACGTTGCAATCTCAATCACCGAAACACGGCGCCGAAATGGAAAAGGACGTGTTAGTCTGATTTATTTCATTTTGTTGCAGCATTCCGAATTTATCGAGTATATTTTGTTTTAAATCTCAGATGTTCAATTCATTCAAATGAGAAGCTTAGTGTGTATTGTGTATCGTGTAAAACGTGCATATGTCACCAATGTGCTCTCTGGGGCGGCATGGTCAGCAGTTAATTACTTTTTGTTTGTTTTTTTAATTCAAAGTATGCTACCGATTATCAGCGTTCGGTTTATTCATGCATAAATAATCACTGGAAAATTGCTCATACACATTTCTAATTATTTGTACATAATTCGAAGTTTGACCTATATATTTTACTACGAGACTTATTATATAAAAAATTCAGATATTTCAGGTTTTTAAATTTTCTTAAAACTTAATTTTCATTATACTATGCTTAAGGATTCGCAAAGTCAAAGAAAGATTACTGATTTTCTAACAAATAAATGAATTTAAAAAGAGCGACCGAAAACATTTAGTTATTAAATTGGATTATCATTGTTTTTGGTTATCTGGGCCCCATCTCCCATTCACTTACACGCATTATCGGTAGCATGCTTTATCAGATGTTTGATCTTTTATTTAACGTTTATTTAATGTTTCGATATAGCTACAAATATACCGTAACGTCCTGGTAACTTTCTGTTTACAAATTATAAAAACTTTTATTACAATATAATTTGGCTAATTGTTTTTAGATATCGTTATTTATTTGAACATTAATAAAATGTTAAGAGATTGCGATTTTCAATTTGATAGCTTATAATATTTTGGATGAAAGTCTGAGTGAAATGTCAGAAATCATTAGTTCACCAGGTATTATTTTCATCGTCATTTAACTGCACTCCTTGTTTGAATATTTCCTGCCGGATTTAAGAGACTAAAGATGAACGCACATCCATCTTCCATCTTTTTCAATACTTGTTCAGCTTACTTTTTTAAATCTTCCTGGTAACAACGATATAAATCCAGCTGATCTATTTTCTTTTCACCTCTTTTAACAACAACAACAACAACAACAACACACGTTTAGACGGCATTTTCCCCGAGATCGGGGGTTGCCGTTTGGCTACCTATGATGAAACCGAAATACCCCTCGACGCCATCCACATTTGTCACTCAACTCAGTATCACGCAACCCCGCTTTCACCCTGTCCTTCTCCACCTGCTCTCTCCATCCCAATCGCGGACGACCCCTTCCTACCACTCCTTCAACCTCGAACTCCAACGTTCGCCTAATCCCGACCCTTTCATCCCTTCTCAACACATGTCCATACCACCGCAATCTCGATCTCCTTATTAATGTCACAATGTCCTCATTCAGTCCCATCATTGACATCAGCTCTATACTACTCCTCCTATCCTTCACTTTAACCCCACACATCATCCTCACCATAGCTCTTTCAGCCCTCTGCAGTACACTTTCCTCCTCTCTCCTCAACACCCAAGTTTCACCACCATATACCATCGCTGCTCTCACACATGCTTTATATACCCTCCCTTTCATCTTCACTGACCATTTCTTTCCACACAGTTCCCTAAATTTCATCCATCCCGCACGAACTCTAGCCGTAACTGCGCTCAAACATCCTCCATCCGCGTTCAGCTTATCCCCTAAGTAAACAAAGCTTTCCACTCTTTCAATACCACCATTCAACCCTGTCCTTGCGTCCGTCCTATTAATCACACCATGAACACATTTCTTACATTTGAACGTGCCTTCCACCTTTTTCAGTGCCCCCCTCAAACCACTACATCTCTTATGCACCCATTTCTGACATCCTATACACAATACTGAGTTAGCCTTCACTCTCCTGTCACATACCCCACAGGGGTCTATTTTACTTATCACTCGCTCCCCACCTTCCCCACTCACCATTACCTTTGTCTTACCAATATTAACTTTTAACCCTTTCTTTTCAATAACACTTTTCCATCTGTCAAATTTTAACTGCAATTCTTCCATGCTATCAGCCATCAAGACTAAATTATCTGCATACAAAATCTCAAATAACAACCCCTCCATTATGTTTCCACACACAACATCCATCACAATTGCAAACAGAAACGGTGATAAAACTGATCCTTGATGCACTCCTACCTTAACACTAAAAGCGTCCGACATCCCCCTTCCAACCCTCACCTTTGTCTTTGCCCCTTCATACAGCTGCATCACAGCTTTAACAAGTCTCTCATTCACTCCTTTCTTCCTCAACGCCCATTCAATGACCTTCCTCGGTACTCGATCAAAAGCCTTTTCTAGATCCACAAAACACATGTACAATTTTCGTTTCTTCTTTCTATAATTCTCCTGCAACATTCTCACCATGAACAACGCATCCACCGTTCCCCTACCAGGCATAAACCCACACTGCATTTCATTAACTGTCACCATACTTTTCAACCTCCTCTCAAGCACCCTCTCCACTACCTTCATTCCGTGCTCTAGTAATTTCACACCCCTATATGACCCACAATCTCTCACATCTCCTTTGCCCTTATACAACGGCACCAACACACTGTGTCGCCAATCCTCAGGTATACCTTCATCATCAAACATACTGTTAGCAATTCTCATCATAACTTCAAGTCCTATCACCACACTCGCTTTTATATGTTCTGCCGCCACTTCCGAAACCCCTGTCGCCTTACCTAGTTTCATTTCTCTAACTGCTTTCTCTACTTCCTCCATCGTCACCTTCTCTATAGGTCCGTGTGTGACCGCGGATTCCACATCTCCATCCCACACATTCTCTTCATTCATCAACCTTTCCATATGAGCTTTCTACACCTGAGCTTTTTCCTCCTCATCTATGCACAACTTGCCAGATCCATCCCAAACACATCCATTTCCTATAACATCTTTCCTATCCCTCATTGACTGCTTTGCTACTTTGAAAATTTTCCTCGAACTCACATCAAATTCCATTTCCTTCATTAACCTATCTGATGCTTTCGTCATTGCAGTTGCCACTGCCTGTTTTGCATCCTTCTTAGCCTTCCTATACTCAGACTCCGCTTCCTCCGTCATGTCCCTTCTCCATATCCTAAACCTCTCCTTCTTGACTTCCAAAACCCTTCTTATATCTTCATCCCACCACCACGTCTCACCATGCCTACACTTTCCTTTCGTCCATCCACATACTTTATCTACCGTAGCCAACACACAGTCCCTGTATCTCTCCCAAACATCTCCATCCTTACCACTCTCCCAATTTTCAGCCACCTTCACTTCAAATGCCTTCCTCACCTCTGCATCCTGCAACTTCCATGTCTTTCTCTTTGCCACAAACTTATCCTTCTTCCTCCTCCCCATTTCTTTTGATGTCACATCCATCACAACCATACTATGCTGCAACATACCAGGTATCGCCTTCACATTCTTCACATACTTCCTATGTTTGGCCCTTACCAATATATAGTCTATCGTCGATCTATGTTCCCCTGACCTATAAGTAATCAATCGCGCTGGTTCCCTTGTGAACCAAGTATTCCCCACCACCATGCTATGTGCATCCGCCAACTCCAACACTCTACTCTATCCCCATCCCCCATGTACACCTTCATATCCGTCTGCATCCGCCCCCACATGACCATTCAAATCACCCAACAACACCACAAACTCATCCAACCCCGCTTGCCCAATCTCGTCAGAAACATCTTCATAAAACCTATCCTTCTCCTCTTCCTTCCTACTTTGTTGCGGAGCATATCCTGATATCACCCTCACTATTACTTTTCCAAACACCATCACCACCACAATTACACCATTGCTTCTCCGCCTCACTTCCAACACCTTCACCAACTCTTCTCTTACCATCACACCAACTCCTCCAGTACCATCATCCCCCTTCCACCACAACTTATATCTTCCACCTTTAGCCCCCACAAACCTTGTACCCTCACCCTTCCATCTGATCTCCTGTAATGCAGCTACGTCAACCATTCTCCTCTGCAGCTCCTCCACCACTTCCAAACTTCTTCCTGTCAACGTGCCTACATTCCAGGTACCAAACCTCCAACCCCTTGGTCTACAAGTAGTCCTTCCATCTATAGTGCCTTGCACCGCCACACTATAGAGTGGGGTGCCAGTAGCCAGACCATCCACAGGGCCTTGCACCACAACCCCATGGACTGGGTCTCCGGAGATTCTTCGCACCTTCTTCTGCCGGATACTGAGGGCCATTGTTATTTCCGTCATCATAAATATTATTTTTGGCTAGTTTTTACGTAGGACGCCCTTCCTTACGCAACCACAGTTATAAGCGGTGGGCCTAGCCTTTGATGATCCAACATCACTCACAAGGCAGTGAGGGTCAGTTTAATGTCATAACCAGGACACCTCTTTTAACCAAATCAAATCAGTTAACTTATAGATCTACCTTTATTCCATGTCTCATCATTACTCTTATTACTTTATTGTTGCATATTTTTTATAATATTTTGAAATTTTCAGACTAGAACATTCGGAAACATGTTGGAATTTCTAAAACATTTTTTAACATTTTGTGATTTTCAAAAAATTCTGACCGTAAATGTGTATACCGTCCACGTATGTTTTTGTACTCGCATGTGCGCTTGTCTGTATATCTCTGTGTGTAATTGCTTTTGTGCGTGTCTATGAGTATCACATTTGACTCAGTTGATATGAGTAAAAAAATTTTTTTTTTGGCGAATAAGCATTCAGGCCATTCATTTAAACCTCTGGATGAAGTGTATCAAAGTCATATGTCAAAGATAGACGAAGAGGTCGGCCTGCTAAAATGTAGGCATGTTGAACTTATCAGCATTGTTCAAGAAGTGGTTAGTCTTTTTTATATAACGTTTTGTTTTTTAATCGTACTCATTGTAACCTGACTTGATGTTTTATTGATTCGTATCGGCATGGAATTAATTTTTTTTAAACGACGCCTTTTAAATTTATGTTTCAATCAGATTTAAATGTTTTTTCTCAAAACCATTTTTCAGAAAAACTTAATTGAGTTATAGCTTCATTTCATTTCAATTTTGAAGTTATTTATTCAACTAAAAAACCAGTCATTCAAAAGAAATCTTGAAGTACTGAAAGTCATGAAATTAAAAACGGTTTGCGAATAGTTAATTGATATTAATTAAAAAACCAAACACTTGTTGTAGAGTCGGTAACATAACAGAAAATGAAATTGAATTACCCAAAGGCGTAATTTTAAATTGAATTAAGTATCTATCGTTAAAGATAACAATCAGAAAGAGGATGAGTATCATGTATGAAATTATAACACGTTAATAATAAGTCAGATTTTGAAAGTTGTTCATGCCAGCTTACCAGATACTATTTTAAGAAAATCAAAAGATTTGTTGTTAAAACGTTGAATAATAAACGATTACTGCAAAATCAATTTAGACATTTTAGTTGTCCAGAAACTTATGAATATAAACATCGGAAAGATCAAAACATATGAGAGCTGCTTCAAGAAGTTAATAGAATAACATGACTTGCTTGTCCAGAGCTGAACAATTTCACAAGATTGTTTATTTGCAGTAAAGCATCTCTTAATAACGTTACATTTATGTGAAAGGATAAAAGGCTTAGCCTAAAACTTTCGACGAAATATATCAACTTTATGAAAAATACAGAGTTGTGAGCGAAGTAGTTTGCAATCGTGAGTGCAAGTAGTGCACGGTTACTATGATGGAGATAGCAAAACAAAAAAAAAATGGATCCTATTTCAAAATTAGATAATAGAATAGATTAGTTTTTAACAATTTAATTATGATAACATTTTAAAATAACATGTGATATTTACTGAACAGAAATAAAAAACGAGCGTATATCTTGACTTTAAACGATATTTTTCGATTAGGGTGTCGCTTATTACATTTATGGTTCTATTAAGCGGTTTCTTGTCTACTTGGTTCTGTTAACTGGCTTCAACTGTTAATATATGTGTTTGTGTGTGTATTATGTTGACAAAGGTTAAATTGATAACTCTTATACGATCCAATTTAGAACTTTAAAAACGCGTCCAATGAAACTTCTGTTGTTACTTGCATGGAAAAATATTTTATTTCTATTTGGTTTTCCTCAAATACATTTTAATGAAAACCAAAGGAAAAAAATGTTGAAGCAGTGAAATTGGCAAAAGAAGAGAAAGTGCAAGAGATAAGGCATGCTGTGGAGTTGATGGTGGCCAGGCTGGAGTCTCAAATGAAAACCAAGCTCGTGAAACTACTAAGTTGTTTCTTTTATTTTTTGAGGCTTTTGATTCAGTTTAATCTTGAATAAATGTTAGTATAAAATAAATGTAACTATTCTGTTGTTTCTTAAAACGATTCAGGTCAAAGAGGGCAACTTTCTGAAGAAACTGAATTTTTAGATTCACTTTTGATGGAGGTTGAAAAACAAAAACGGTCAACTTATTGTTTTTATTGTATAAAAATTGTACACTTTTATGTCATTTGTTTCCTCATCGTTATTGCTCATTTTAATTCTATAACATCCATTTTTGCCACGTCATCAATATTATTCACCATATTTACGTCTAGTTCGGTTCGTATTTGTTCGTCCAGATGTTAAATTTGTAAAGAAATGTAATTTTAAATGTCATTTAGTTTGATTGATGTTAGGAATTTAATTTAAGACATAGTTTTTAACATAAGGAATTTGAATTAAATGTAAATTTTAAATTTATTATTTTGAGAGGTTAAAAATTGTATTATTGTAAAAACGTCAAAGTCTTAGCCGGCAGATCGTTCAGGGAAACCCGTGTTAATCTTTATCAAACATTAACATCATTTTTAACAACCATCATTAACGGACAGCGCATTTTAGCAGCATTTGGAATCGTAATAAAAACATCTGATGGTTAAAATTATTATTCCACTTGTAATAACATTTTTAGTCCACGTTAAAACTTTTAGTCAAAAAAGTCCATTACGTTTATATTTATTGTCGCCTTTGTTTTTTACTAATTTATCTATGGAAACTCTACATCAAGAATGATGCTGGCCGTACATATATACAAAGAAGTCTTTTCCTATAATTTTCTTATTCCCGATTCCGACTTGCGACTTCCAAATAATTTTGTAGACTTTTGTGTTACAATTAAAAATAAAGACCACCACCTAATGATAAAAGGAAAGTTACTTTAATAATAAAATCGGTTTATGTGTTTTCTTTCTCAATGTCATTCTAAATTCATTTAATTTTAAATTAATGTTAAAAAAATTGAGATGTAATTACAAAACTTGTGTGCGTTATTTTACATTATTGGGAACTGTTTTGGTTCGTTTTTGACTGAAGGTTGATAATATGAATGATTCTATTTGAAACTTTATTGATGAAATAGCGCTAATTAGTTTGTTAATAATGAATTGTTAATAATATTTTACAATATTATTCAATATTAATATTATTGTTAATTTTTAATTTATTTGTTAAACTTTAAAATGACAACCTAACTAAAAATGATTGAGACATTATTATTGAAAAATCTTGAAATTACAATTAGAATGAAATTGAAGTTTTAATTTTAATAAATTTTAAAATATTGCTTTAATTTTTATATTAAATTAAATTAAATTGAAAAAAATGTTATAGTTGAAAAACGTTTACGACGGACAAAAATTGTACGAAATAAACGTTACACTAAATCTTTATTAACATTAGACAGAATGAGTTGAGACAAATTGACGTCAGACGAAATATATGTTTGGAGGGTTAAAGTTTAATCAATCCAGACACATTTTTCATTAATTGGGACATGAAAGCAGTTTTTCAACATTAAAATTAATTTTCTTGTATTATTGATAATGCAAATTTTTCATCCCAATTCACTAATTTTTATGTATTTTTTGATTTCCATTTAACTTTGCTTGGTCATATAAAATATAACAGGGTTGCTCGGAAAGTAATTTAGTTTTTTTTTGTGAAAATGATGGACAGTTTTCGTTTAATGAATAAATATTTTATTACATTATAGGAACTGTTCAAAGCGTGAGTTAATACAACAAAGCAAAGACATGCTAAAAATGTTCGCACATGTTAATAGAAAACCTATGACATCCTTTGTAACTGCTCCTATAGCTTCAGATTTTGTTAGGTAAGGCAATTTATTTTTTAAACTTAACTACCTAGCGTACTTTTAATACATTTGTTGAGAAGGAATATATTGTTTTTTTCCAGTGAAGTGGTTCCTCAGTTCGATTCTAGCACTTTCGTCCTTTCCAATTTTAGTCGCCTGCAGCAGTGGGCAGATCCTGTTTACAGCAGTCCACTTGTTGTTCATGGCCTTATGTGGAGACTTAAAGTTTATCCCGTATGTTCAGCCACATTTTTTAAACTTACCTTATTTTGTAATTATCTGATTTGGTCTCACCTGGCATACATTTTTGCTGGCAATAAAGTTTTTAGCCAATTTTATTTAAATATCACATTATTGTAAATGGCGTTTAAATAGTGCAAAAAGTAATTAATCTTCGTTGGATGTTGTTTGGTTAATTGAATTTGTATTTGATTTTTTAACTTCCTATTTATTTCTAAAAACCGCTAGAAGAAATTAGTTATTAATACTTATTTTTCAAATTTTTTTTGGGAGTCAAGCATGTAGATAGATGTTTGTTAAAACGCAAATTCGTTGCGAGTCTTGGTAAAGCAGAATCTGTCTATGTTCTAAAAAGAAGGCTTATGGGTATTAAAGCGAAAAAATGGGCAAGGTTTTTGAGAAAATAACTTAAATTTTTTATTTGCAACGAATAAACTGTATAATGTAATGAGCGTGAGTTACAAAGCGGTGTCTGTCTATTCAGCTGCTAAAAAATATGTTAGACAAAATTTAATTATCTAATAGAATTGTTAGGTCGATGAATATACAGTCGGTCCTCGGTACCACGAACTTGATGGTTCCAGGAAATAAATTGGTCATATAGAAATTTTGTTATACAGAAGTTGTCGGGAAAAAATTCTATATTGTTGAAAAAATGTATATATATATAGGCTATATATTTATTAAAAACAACTTTTTAATCATTTGTTTTTATAACAAAAGTAATAAAACATGGTGTAATCGCAAAAAATAATTCTTCATTCCATGCAGCGACGATTCCAATTCCACTGAAATTAATTAAGGTAGAATACGCAAAAATTACTAGAATACTAGAATAAGAAAAAATAAATTTAGTTCTAACTAAGATATCAAAGCAGTTCAAAAACACTGCTCATATCAGTTCATAGAATGTTTACTGGCCAGATATTTCTTCTAACTTTTATAAATTTGGTTTATTATAGAGAAATTATTTTTGTTCTATAGAAACAGTTTTATATGTAAAATTTCAAGGGACATAAAAAATTCGTTATACAGAGATTTTTGTTCTATGGAAGTTCATTTTAGGAGGTCTGACTGTATTTAAGAAATTGCTGTCAGTGGCGTATGCAAAGTTTACATCAGTTAACTCAAAACTAGGTTTTATATGGCAACTCAGAAGGACCAAAATATTTCTTCGGAGTTAATTCTGAGCTAACTATAAAAATGAAGGAGGCTGGATGTAATTGTTATATTTTGCGAGATGACGGGCGTTTAGAGATAAACTTGGCAAAAAAAGTCTTTAGAATGTCGGTGGTAGGACGACAACGCTATTTTTTCGTGACATCTGTCGACCTACAGATGTGTTTGGCACAGTCAGCAGAAATGGCTTGTGGTAAAATTCAGCTTCCTCGGCGGTAGCCAGTAGATATAAGATATAAAACGGATTCTGCGTCTCTCAGAATCTGATTTTTTAAAGAATAAAAATATAGGCTCTTCATCGTGTTTGGTTATTTTTTTGTTGCTTTCAAAAATTTGGCGAGTTATGGAAGTTGCATGTGTTGATTGTAACATTTTGCAATTTCAATTACTACTTAAAAAGGAATAAAATGATATAAACATTTAATGTGTTTTTTTTCACTGGAATCTGTTATACGTTTTTTTACCTCTGATGTGTGTTTTAGGATGGCAATGGAGTTGTACGAGGCAATTACTTGTCGGTCTTTCTCGAACTTTCTCAAGGATTACCGGAGACTGCCAAGTAGCTTTTTCTATTTTTGTTTAATTTATATGCTTTAAAAAAGAAAACTTTTTTAAGGCCAATTTGAAATTATATTAATAGAGCTAAATTAATATATATTTTTATAAAGCTATAAAAGCTGGATAATATTATAGTTGATCATCAAAACAGAACATGCGGAGTCGTATAAAAGCGATTTGTAATTGAAATTAATTATCGTTAACATTTTGAATCAATGTAATTTTAATTTTAACCTGTATAACTTACATATTATAATCTAGATATGAATATAGAGTGGAGATGGTTCACCCAACCTGTAAGGACGACAACAAGAACATCGTCCGCGAGTTTGTTTCGGACTTTGAAGTTGGCGAGTGCTGGGGATATAATCGATTTTTTAGGTTAGATCTACTGGCAACTGAGGGTTACTTGAACGTTGAGTCTGATTCCTTGGTTCTGAGATTCCATGTCAGGGCGACGACATTTTTTCAAAAGACTCGAGATTTAACGTGGTTAGTTGTTTTTTGTTTGTTTATCTTTATGTCGTTGTTTGGCTGTTAACGATTATTGTAATAAAAATTTAACACTTGCGGTTTAAATGTTCTCGTTCTTAATTTTTTATGAATAAATTGTTATATGGTTGTTATGAGCAATAAGGGTCATAAAATGAAATTAAAATGCAGGATTTTTGTTTCATTAGAGTTTACTGAAGGTTTATTTCTGTTAGACCATTCTATTTATCAGGTAATGCGTTTAAGGTGTCAATTAGTTTGGCATAATATATTGTTCATAAGAAGTTTAGCCATCTTACCGTTTGGGCGGTGACACACACGCGAAACCTGGCATAAATCCCGTGATGATCTTGCGATCTCTGGTTCTTTTGCTCATCTGAATGCACCACACTCATATCCGGGCTGTCAGATTAAGATTAGATGCGGCAGTGGCTTGGCCATGGCTTGTGTTGGAATGAACTACAGTTTTTAAACATTATGTCTTTGGCTACCGTTTTAAAAAAAATTGTGACTTTTAAAGTTCAGGTCATCGAGAAGGTTAACATTTATGCAGCAGGATCAGTAGCTGTAATTTATAACGAGGATAATAAACGTTACCCAATTTGCTATGCAATCAATTTTAGTTTTGAAATGTAAACCGTAATGTTACGATGTTTACGGGCCTGTTTGTTAAACTTTTTCTTGTTATTATGTTTTAATAAATATCAAACGAATAATTACTTTTTTTTTAATTGTGTTCAACTATTTCAAAATCCTAGGTACGTAAGCAAACTTGAGTCACAAAAAGAAAGATATATTCAACAAATTAGTCTTTTCAAAGAGGTTTATATCGATTTCGGTTCTTACAATTCTGTACAGTTTTTGAAAAGCAGAATATTTAAGTTAATGTTATTTTCATTATTTTCATAAAGAAACTTGCCACTATTGAAACTTCCAGGAAGCACTCACTAAAAAAAGCCGATTTTCAAAGTGAGCAGCTGTTATTTTCGTCCAGGATAATATTATTACATAATTTTATTATATATATTTTATTATATAATATTATTATTATTGCATAATAAGTATTATTTAAGGAGTTGATTTGCTACAGTCTAACCTCTGTCAATAATTCGTCAATTTTTACGATCTAGCTCTTAAACATAGAAAATACTTATTAGGATTTTTGTCAATGCGTCACTCTTCATTTTTTTTCTGTCGTATTTTCAATTCTTTTGATTAGAATGTTAATTTTTTTATATTCCGTCTTTTGAAGAATTACATGGCTACTCTAGTTTATTTTCTCAAAATCCATGTAGATGGATTTACAATACAATTATTCATGCAAGACTATTGAAATTAATTGTATTAATATTACGATCTTTGGTCTAAAGAAAATGTTAAACAGTTATTTTAAATTCCACCTACACGCGGAAACGTTTTCACTTTCGATTGCACTGCAGGTGACATGGCAGATAAAAAGAATTTCGGTAAATTGACTTCAAATAGCAAGGACGGTGAAGCTAGTAATGAAGCGACTTTGATGATTAGTCTTGATGTTAAAAAGCACCGTAGGTACAGTAGTTCAGAGAGTGATGTAAGTGAATTTTGTTAATTGAATGGTCTTTAAGCAATTTTGTCAGAATTTTTTCGGTTTTGCTGCTGTACTAAAATAGTTTTATTTTGTATTAAATTTATTTTTGGCTTTTTTTTAATAATGACGCCGGTTACCTAACGCAACAGATGTCCGAATCGATTGTATCGTGTTATGAGTTAGGACTGGCGGACAGATTAGAAAGCAGCAATGATGAAAATGACATTGATGAAGAAACAATGTTTGTACCTATTTCTATATTTTACTGTTATTGTTGGGATCATTTATAGCCAACTATTTTTTATTCAAATTTATGTTCTTTTCATGTGTAGTAGGTCTTTTATATATTTGGTAAAATATAGTATTATCAGCAAGGTCCCAATCATGTAAATTAAAATATTTGACCTCTGATTGGCAAGATTTTGTAAAGTGCATCAAGAGACTTCAATAGAAAGGAATGGCGATGAAGAGATACATTAAAATGATATGTTTTTATTAAAATTGGTCTCTAGTTAATTTTTTCCAACCCGAAGGTTCGGAGTTAATGATGTGGAGAGTTTAACGGGAGCGCCTGAAGATGAACTAGCTGATTTTTTCATGCAAGAACTTTCAAGTCATGACGACACAAACGCCGACGGCCATAACATTGTTTCATCTTTCCTGAGAGCTTCAGATGACGAAGGAAGCGACGGTGGTCGTGGAGATGGCTTCAAAAATTTGTTAAAAGCTGAGAACACAACCTGGTAGGTAGTAATTCTTATAAAGACATTTATTTTATAAGTTAATTTTATGTCTACACGACCTATTTCCTTTTAAGTGAACTGGGAACTGAAGCAGATAATGACAAAAATGTCAACAACAACGCAAGAGCCAGGGAAATGCCTGTTTCCAGTTGGCAGTTGTTTCTTCTTCACTTACACATACATTATTTAGATATCTTTGTTTCCGTTTCATTTACACATATACTGTTTATTGTTTACTTTGTTCCTATTTCATTTAAACATACGTTGTTTAGATACTCTTGTTGCCACTGAGATCAAGGTTTAATCATTTCGAGTTTGATATTAGGTTTTCATTTCAAATTTCTCTTTCTTTGTTTGATACTATTTCTGTTTGAAAGCTAAAACTCAAGTCACTCAATTTTTTACCGATGATAATTGCCGAGACTGACCAACTGAGTTTTTTGTTGTTTTCTTTCTCTGTTAGGTGAAAAAGCTTGTTCGTCATATGATGAAAATGATGTTAAACTCGTCAAAAACCAAAGTCATGACGTCACACAGAAACAATCACAACTACGCTTGAATGCTAATGTGGAAACGGAAGAGGTTCTTGATCGTTTGCAACAACAAATAGAAAACATCAACTGCCTCGCAAGCAGTCACAAACCGAGTGAAGCTTCTAATTCTCAAACTAGTGGCTCATACAAAAAAACTAACACTTGGCTTTCAAACAAACACAAACAAAATCAAGATTACGATTTTACTTGCAAAAGCTCAAAAAGTGAGTAATTTTTGTTAGGTGTCGAATATGTTCATTTGTTTGTTTGTTTGTTTGTTTGTTTGTTTGTTTGCTTGTTTGTTTGTTTTGTTACCTCTATCCTTGAATTATTGTATTGCGAACCGGAATAAGATTTCAAGCGTTATACTTTGATAACTTTAATAATTCGAGTGATACAAATGTTTAACGCTTCTTAATCGAAGATTTTTTTTGTAAAAATTGTAATTTTTTCTATTCAAATCTAATGGTAAATATAACTCCCAGTTTCGTAGTAAAAGGTTAGCTTGAAAAGTAGCAAGCCTATCAACGCCACTACTGCTCAATAAAACTAGCGTCGCTACCGCTCTTGATATTAAAGCATGTGATTGATTGAAGAGAATTGATGTCTAGTGGGCAGACGATGATCCGCGTTTCTTTATTTAACAAAAGGATCGCTCTCAAAAATTAGCATTGTTTAAGATGTAATTAAATAGAAATGGTATACAATTACAATTAGAATTTCCCGTTTATATGATGTTATATGATATGATATGATACGATACGATATGATATGATACGATATGATACGATATGATACGATACGATATGATATGATATGATATGTCAATAATATAAACTGATAATTTAATGATTTGATTAGTGCTTTTTTATATACATCGATAGTATGATTGTAAATTAGGTAGAAAGTTACATGTTGTGTTACGAATGATTGCCTAATTGGTTTTCATAAACAGCAGGCAGTTCTTCAGCACTCATGAAACTTGTACAGTATCCAATGGACGCATTAAACGATTCAAATAATTCTCTATATAAACTTCTCAGCGTAAAGAAATGGTTTGTTTGTATGTTTGTCGTATTCTCATTTAATAAAAATTTTTGAGTTATTTCTATATAAAATGAACAGCATCTAGCAGATTATACAATCATCTTGAGTCGTACCCATTTTATTTGCTAGAGTTTATATTACAATGCATTTTGTGTTTATTCGTTTTAAACCTTCATCAAAAGCAAGAGACAAACGTATCAACAACAGCACAGGTAAAGGAGCCAGAGATGTGGACAGTTACAAAATTGACAAAGCCACGTTATTAAACAGAAATCTACCTGCCAAACAAAACTCGTTGCACGTTGATTTATCCGATGCTTTGCTACTTGATAGTTGGTCTAAATATTTATGACTTTGTAAAACTATTTTTTATTGTTACTTTGTGTTATAACATGATTCATATTTTTTATTAATGTGCTATAGCATTCTGTTTATTTTATTCTATCAACAAAAGGATTTCTAATCACATGATATATTTATCATTTATTTTTCTGCCAGTGACCGCCAGTGCCGGCACTTCAGTCAGACCTTCCTTCACGAATGTTCCTTGCCAAACTTTAAAAAGTGCCTGTTCATCGTCCTGTCTTCCAACTCACTCGTCTTTTCCTCATCAACGTTCAAAAGCGGAATCACAGATAGATACGAATTATAGATATGCCAACGATCTAAATAATTACGACAACTCTGCTATTATTACACCTCATACCTCTAATGAGAACAATGCCGAAAATTGTAATAACCCTAATAAAAATGTCGCTCCAGACGTTTATAGTGAAAATAGCGAATGAATATTATGCCCTGTTTGTATTAATATTCCGTCACAATATTATATATAACGTGATTTTAACTTGGCATTTTTTACATAATGTAAGTAATTTTGTTTGAATGCTTGGATTTTTGACGTCTTCTGCATAAGATGACCTTCACTGTGTTAATTTTACTCAATTTTTTCCATTATTTTGTTCATTATAATAAAGTACGTCTTACACTTTTTTCCGATAGGTATGTCGTCTCGAGTTTTTTAGCTGTTAATACATCACTGTTCATCAACATTTTAGAGCTTTGTAGGGAGGCGCAAACATACATACATACAAACGTGCGTGCATAAAATACACACATACATACACGCACATACTGTACTTTTTTTGAGAGAGATTTAAAAATGTTTTTTCATAAAATCTTGATAGTACTCGAAAAAAATCTTAACTTCAGAAAAACAAAGTCCTGTAATGAAACAACATCTTTCTTCACAGGCTGTTGATGACTAATTTTTTGTCTAATATTCATTCTTACTCGTGCGTACTCGGCCAATGAACCACCACTGCTAATTTTATCTGAGCAAGCACATACCATCGGCACGCAATCGAAGTCATGCAGATGTTTTGGAATAAGGTGGTACTTTATTCGCCCTCGTCTTTTAAGGAAACAAGAGAGCCTTAACACTGACGCACCAATACACATTCAGATATTATATAAAATATTATAACGGGCGATATACAATCAGTGGCGGATCCAGGAGAGGCACTGGCTTCAACCGTTGTGAGCGTTATTTGTGTTAGTAAAGAGTTAGTAAAGAGTTAGTAAAGGTAGTGTTTATGAAGCGAAATTTGACATTATAAACATTTTAAGTCAGTCAATTAGCAGAAAAGTTGGACGTCCCCGTGAGAACAGAAAAATTTTCGAAACAAATTTGAAAAAGTTCTATTCGGAAAAATCCTTCCCCGACATCAAATATTTTTCAAAATCTTGCCCCTTCCCGTCAAAATTGTCTAAATACGCCACTGTATACAAGTATTCAATCAATCGATCAACAACTTGTAAAGCGAATTTTACAAACAGATGGGTCTTGAGATCCGCTCTGAACTTTGCAAGCGGTAGGAAAGTAGTTAGAGAAGGAGGTAGAGACTTTCAGAGAAAATGGCCAGAAAAAGCAAACGCAGATTTAGCATAAGAGTGTTTAACACGAGTTAAGAAAAAGTGAAAATAAAAAGACGATCGTGAACTTAATTAGATTTAATTAAATAAAATACTTGATAAGTACTTAAGACATAATTTAAATTAAGACTTGTACATTAATGTGTTCGTTTCAAAAATAATTCAATATTTTCTAGGTAGCCAGTGTAAGAGAATAAGATGTGGAATTTTGCTTAAAGGATAGAATGTAAAATCGGGAGGACTATAGCAAAGCGAGTTACAATGCTCAATACTAGACGAAACTAATAAAAAAACAAGTAGAAGAGTAGTTTCATCAAGAAGCAAAATATTTTTATTCTACGTAGATGGAAGTAAAAACTTTTAGCAATATTATTAATCTGAGAAAAAATAGGTCTGCTAGAATCAAAGGTAAAGCCGAAACTGTAGGTTACAACTAATGGCAATAATTTATTTGAGAAAAAATACTAAAAAAGTTTAACTAATAAAGTGCAATCGAGGTGATATACATAAAGACAAATTAACATGATTCATGAAGATGAGATAAATAATAATAATAAATAATAATGTCATTTATGAGCGCCCCATGCATATCGTCAGAGGCGCCCGGATAAAGGCCTGTTCAAACAGATGCTGCTTCAATCGCTTTTTAAACGTTTCTATTGAGGGTTGTTGACGGATGATGAGTGGCAAACTGTTCCATATTGATGGTGAGCAATGTGAGAAGCCTTTATTGACGAGAGCTGATGTATTGACTGGTTGATGCAGTTGCAATGACGACGACGGACGAAGGTGATGGCGATGATTAACAGATGAATGAAGGCGAATGAGTTTGTGAAGATATGATGGTTGAGATGTGTTGAGTATTTTATATGTGATGACAGCAATTTTATACTTAATGCGTTGATAAATCGGCAGCCAGTGCAGGTGAGCCAGAGATGTTGAACTAGAAGTTATACGAGGTAATTCTAAAACAAGTTTGGCTTATCTGTTTTGAATGATCTGAAGAGAGGAAATTAGATACGCCGAGTGCCATATAACAGAGAGTTGAAATAGTCAAGGCGAGGTAATACAAGGCAGCGTGCTAGCGTGGAGGCAATTTCAACTGTGAGAAAAGGTCGAATATGGCGAATGGACCAAATAATGTGTATGTGTGTGTATACAAATTTATAATCTATATTATTCAAATTAAAATTATTTTAAACATTCGTTACATAGAGTAGTGCAAGTTGTAAATGTAAACAGATATAGAAGCAGGCTTATTGGTTATAAAGATCAGCCGCCTATTATAACAATATTTTCTAGGACGAAATCAAATCCTATTTTACAAGCCTGATTTGCTTTGTGTGAATAATCAAACTGCAGACTTGGCAGCCTCAATTTAATGTTACCCACCAACAAGGAGATTCAATTGGAGCTATTTTTCTCAAGTCCAACATTTTTAAATATTTCCAAATAAATTTTAAACTTTGATATAAAAACCAATTAGGCTGTGTTGTTAGAAAATAGGGATTTCGTGGCCGAGTGGTTAGCGTGTCCGTCTACCACTCCTATGACCCGGGTTCGAATCCTGTAGTTTCTACAGGTTCATCCGGGTAGCCGACCCCCCGGCCAACCCAGCCGTCCATACTTTCGAGGTTGGTAAATGGGTAGACGACGTAAGTTGTCGCATGTTGGCCGGCGAGATGGCTCAGTGGTTCAAATGCAGGCTGAGTCAAACATCTCAATGGCTATCATATACTCTACAGGATGCTTGCTTGTGCACATAAATACATGTGTACGTCGTGTGAAAAGGATCAACAGCCTTTGTGGCGAAGATGGCTGCTTCAAATCAATGGATGAAAATATGAAGTACATAATAAAAAAGATATATGTATAGATAATATGTCTGTAACATTGTAAGTGGTTCTGTGTATATCAGAGCTTCAATAATAAAGACTAAATATTAAAAAAATGAGTGTTGTGCGTGAAAAAATAAAAGTAGTAATAATTTTTGGGAAAACAACCCGATTGAAGGCATAAAAACGAATTAAAAATTAAAAAAAAATTCATAGGCGTCAGGAGCACAAAATTCATTATTTTAAGAGTAAAGATGAGAAACAAATGACGTCATGCGAGTTTACTTTCGAAGAAGTTTGACGATATTTCACTGTATTGAATTAGGAAAGATTAAAAATTAATAAAACAAAAATTATATATTAAAATTTAAATTTGGTGAATGACATTTTATACGTGTAGATGCCCACATCTTGTTCAAGATAATGGAAAAAATAAGTGACCTAAACCTCTTAAATATTCGTAAATTAAGTAATTTCATGATAAAATAATACGAGAAACACCGATATAAAGCCGTGTGTTATGATTTATGAAACGAAACATTTAGTAAACTTTTATTTTGAAATGAAAAATTAATGATCGAACAATTTAAATAAATCAGTTGAACTCAAAACGAAAACTAATGACGGAATTTAATATTTCGATAATCTTGAATATTAATTTACCGCACCAGATCATAAATTAGCTACTGTCAATTTTCATGCATCAAAATGCCTACGTTAGTTAAGTCAAAAAATTTAGAAATAAAAATAAATAAAAAAAAATCAGTAAACATGTGAAAGCGATTTGTGAAAATACTTTAATACCAATAGCTTGAAAAATAAAAGAAATTAAACACTAGAAATTTAAAAGATTCTTTGAAATGTTGTCGGCTTTATTAATTTATGTTAAAAATTAGTCAAATAGTGACTTTTGCTCTCTCTTCTTCTTTAGCTTTTTCTGACATGTCAAACCAGTAAACAGAATCGTGAGATGATAAGATTCGCGCCAAAGGTCTCAATCGAATCCACCAATTATCACGAGATATACGATGCCTGAAATTTATTGCAAATAAATTATGCAAAAATGATTTTATTTTATTTATAAAACTAACTAAATGATTAAAAAAACAACTAACTGAAAATTTAATTGCTTTTTGAGATCCTGTATCGACGTAAATGTAATTGACCGTTTAAGGAAACCGACCAGGGAACAGGTTTCTGGGCTTAAAGTATTCACAACACCTGGCAAACGAAACAAAGGTTCACATTTCATTGAAATGAAATAAACAATCTTTGTATTTTATAAAAAAAAAGACATTTCTGTTCATTCCGAAATTTTTTAAGTTAATTGGATTTAATTGAGATGAACAATAGTAATTATCCAACGCTTTCGCGGAATAAACAGTTTTTATATTAATTTCAATTTTTTGAAAATCAAATTCGATAAAAATTAAAACAAGCCAGTAAACCTGTAGGGCTGACACATTCGTTAAGTTGATTGATGAGCTGTTCAGAAGCCAGAGAGGCGAGTTTTGTACTGTATAAACGATCAAACGCCGACGGTCTGCCACCCTATAGCAACGTGGAAAAAATTTATTTTCCCATTTTATTTTTCCCAAAATAGAAGCTTATTTAAAGTTTCAAATTTATCGAATCCTGGAATAACATGAAAGTATCTACAACTGATTTTACTAATTACCTGCTACGTGTACATTTTTTTCATCAATTGAAGAATATGATCATTGACTGAAGATAATCAATCAATTAGTGAAAAAATAATCAAAAAATTATAATCATCAAGAAGAGTTGCACTGACTTCATTGACTTCTCCAAGGGAAACAGTTTTGGTGGTGAATGTTGATCTGCCCTCGTGACTGTACAAACTCTTGAGGAAATCCAAACGATAATGTTCATGGGCCTCATTTGATCTTACGTCAATGCAATATTTTAACGTTTACTTTCAAGTTACTAATAGATAAATATAGCTGCGTATACTATAAAAAATCACAACGTCCGCAGCCTATCCTTTTCACTTCATCAGCGGTAAATATCACTGCATAAGTTTATGAAAACTTACCAAATAAGTGCCGAGACATAATTTTGTTATTTCGTCCGCGGTATGAAAATATACTAAGTTTACGGTAAAATACAACGACATTTTTTCATTTAGTCGATCGTAATTGCCGCTGCATACAGTACAAATTTTAAGGTCCGTGGTAAATGCCGTGGCTTCTCTGGCGAAACATCCTAGATGTGTAGTTATAGTTTGTCGGAGAAGAAAGGGGAAAATTGAATTTCTTTTTACATCATTTTCAAATTTGAAGATAGGCGTTGTCATGAAGTTTTTCAAAGTTATATTTATTGGCATAATATTAAAGTGCGCTCTGAAAATGACGAGTGAGTGATATCTACCAAGGGATGCAACGTCGTTCTTAAAAACATCCTAGTTATATGCTGATTTGTTTCGTGAAATTTTTGTTCAACTGACAAAAACTTTAACGTCGATGTTTATTAAAGTTTTTGAGAGTTTGAATATCAATATATAGACGATATATCATTCCCAAATATATCAACGAGGTTTTGCGAATGTCGATACATCGTTTGCGTCACTATCCAAAGATATGATTAATTTAGCACGGACAAACATTCACCGTTTTTTTTAGGAATTTTCCAACATCAACGATATTTACCGCAGATGTTTATTATTTAAAGTAAACAAAAAGATAGAATTAAAAAATTATCAATAATAATCATCACTAAATTGCTTTAGTTAATATTTGTAATGTGATAACGAAAATTCGTTGCTTATGAAAACTTTACTACTTTGTTTAGCGTACCAGCACAAAATATACCTTAGTATGAGACCTCTGTGTATCCCATTACGTATTTTTATAGCTGTATGCACCAAATCAGTCTGCAAAATTATTAAAAAAAAATAAAAATATCATTTAAAGTCTAGAATAAAACAATTAAGATGCATGGCGTTAGCCATAAAATCTTTTTCTATAATTATTAAAATTTCTGTTTGTCAGGCTCTTTTACTATTGAATAAAATTTTTACAAATCGTAAAACGCTAATTCAATGTTTAGTCAGTATCAGAAACGAGAAAGTTATTATATATTATTAATATTATTACGTTCAAAACTATAATACCATTATTTCTCTGATGCCATGAGCTTCTTCAAAGATGTACGAAGCATCGGCACCTGTAGATAGTGAACTCATCGTTGTTAGGTAGCCACACTTGTCTCCCATCGTCTCACATAGAAACACTTTGTTCTTACTTCCTGTCGCTGACATGCGAATTCTATCACAAATCTAAACGAATAATGATGGCGAAAACAATTTGTTAGCTAACAAACTTGAGGAGCACCAAAGAGTAAATTTGACCGAATGCCGAATAGCCAAATAGAAAATTTACTATTTTACTATGAAATTTTGAATTTTTAAAAGAAAAAACAAACTATTGAATAAACAGGATGCAATTCATTTTTATCCAACAATAATATTTAATCTAATTTTTTAACAATGATTGGAAAATAAATTTCTGGCTAATAATGATAAGCAATTAATACTTTAAAATCATCAAAAATGAAGGCTAAAACGGAAGTTGTAATATTCGACTATTCGGTCTTCAATAATGGCCGAAGCCAAACCCTATATTTCGGTCAGGTCGAACGTTCAGTGCGTCTCTTTTACAAAACTTGTGTCAATAGAAAAATGTTTCAATTAATTTTTCAAGTTTTTTAAATATAATCTTTGTAAATGAAGTTTTGAAGCTTATGCCATCATGAAAGAAGATTTAAAATACCAAAAAATGATTTGACACTTTCAAACGGCTGTCTAAATAAATTACCAATATCTTTCAAACTGAATTTAAACATTCCATAACTTTTAAGATTGTTAATTTTCCGATTATCTGAAGATTTTTTTTTAATTAAAATCATTAAACAAAAGTAATAAGAGTAATTTTTAATCATGTTATAAATCAATGAAACTTGGTCACCTACATCAGTGATCTCATTGAGAGCTGTGTCACTGCCAACAGAAATGTCGGTCCCAGGCAAGTTGTTGGCGCTAGTAGCTGGTATAACACAGATAGGAATACAAAACTCCAGATATCTATGCCTCATCTCAGCCATCACAAGAGCACTATAAAAAGCCTTTACGGTAATTAATTAAACATGTTTAATTTTTGTTTTTGATAATATAGCTCTGTCAAATGCAGAATTGCTTACATGTCATTCTATACTTACGCTTACACTTTCGTACCACAAAGACGTACGCACACATTATGAACCAATTAAAACTTGGTGGACCATCCTGCATCACGACTAAAGATCGGTTCAAGAAATTTTTCTATTGCAGGCCCAGAAGTATGGAACTGTCTAACAGGCTACTTGCGACAACCTGTTAAAGACTCTTCGATCAATGAAGCGTTTTCTTGTCATAAATTGTTTTAATCACTGGTTAAGAGCACTTTTGAGATTACAATTTAAAAAGCGTATATTAATAATTATACTAATTATGTATGCACATTTAAACACCGCATCATACGCGCATGCGCATAATAGTTTTTGAATTTCGGACAGACAGTATTCAAGCCAAGCCATCGCGTAATAACAGTGCGATACATGGCACTCCCACTAGCTGAAAAAATTCCATGTTTTCTCTCGCCGAACTCCAAACTACATAGTTTACTATGTAGTAGTTTAATGTGGAGTACTCAACCGTTAATTCCCCGTCACTGCAAAATATTTTATTAATGCTAAGGCTTTTATAAATTTTGTTTCAATCAACGTATAAATACGTTTATCTACAGAATGGTTATTTCAGGAACATACCGCTTGTTTACGATTAAACAATCTGGTTAGCATTAATGTTTAGTCATGACATTATTTTCAAAAACTGGAATTTTTTCCCAATTCTACTCAATTATTATTTGTCGAAAAAAAATGTTAACTGCCATTGTTATACTTTATGCAACATATAAAACACGATTCAAGTGTAAATTACCTCAAATCCTCCAACCATGAGAAGTGCGGCCAACTTATACTTCCTCATTTGACTGGCTATCTTGTCCACTCCAAACTGATCGATAAGGACGCTAAGGCAATTAGCGTGTGAATATGTGAAAATAAATAAATACTCGACATGTTTTGTGCCAAAATTTTTCAGTACTTTAGAGATTTATATAAATGAATGAAAACTTTCAAAACTTGAGAGCTGCAAGTATTGAAAACAACCCAAGACATAGATGTTGTTATAATTATATTTACAATACATATGTGACCCTGACAAAGCAACCTGCTGGTTCCAATGTTAGTTCCAGCATCACTGGTCCATCCGTTTACATCTTCCCATTTCATCACTTCAGCCTTATTTATGTATATTATATATATAATAAAATAAATAATGACAGTTTTTCAATTTTTAGTTATAAACTCATCAATGCTGAAAATGCGGTGATATTTTTTAATAATTGTATATACGACAGTCTGAATATATATATATATATATAAATAAACATATATATGTGTATATATATATATATATATATATATATATATATATATATCAATTCGCTATTAATTGCATTTATTTTGCCAATCAAATAATTAATGATAGTTGTTACAAACATGGTTTTGCATGAGACCTTCAAACCCATGATGGATGGCAAAGACACTGTAACCAGCGTTCATAACGAACCTCACAAAAGTTCTTAGGGCTGCATTCATGCCACAGGTAGGCGGACCCAAACACATCATTCCGAAAACATAGTGCTTCTAAAATTGAATGACAACTATTACTTTAATATTGTTTAATATTGAAAAATAATCATTACACCGACGTACAGATTTTTCAAAATGTTCAACTTTTGCAGGAGGATTCACTTCAGCCATCAACATGTATGAATTGAAATTGCTAACAAAATATCTGTCGTTGAGATGGGAAAATCATATTTTACATTCTTTAATAATGCACCGACATAAAAATTTTTATTAAAAATTGAGAAATATTCAAAAAATATGAATCTTTGAAAATTTTAAATAAAAAAGTTAAACAAAGCGTACTGTCCTCTAGCAACTGCCACTCGATCATAGTCCCTCTCTTCCATCATTGTTTTCAACGATCTCAACTGGTTCACGTTAACAAAACAAAATTTCATTAGATTTGCAATTGTTAGACTTGAAAGATGAAAACATTGCTAGAATAAATAAGATCAGCGAATTAAACCTAGATGGATCGTTTATTTCCTTATTTAATCACATTCGGGCTATCTATTTTTTTCTTTGAAAATCATTTCAGAATTTAAATTAACACCTTCAATTTGTGATATTTCTACTCAATAACGGGCCACTAAGATTGCATTTTCTTAGTGTCATTTAATTTTCTGAAATATTCATCTTAAATATTTAATAAAACTGAAGAAGGAATCAACTTTTTCAAGTTCGACTATAATATGATGGAAGTATTATACAAGTCTGAGTGACGTCTCGTGCATTAAAGTTCACGGTAATAATTTGTAACTTTAATAAAAAAAAGGTTATATAAATTATATGAGATGTCTTAAAATTGCACATTCGATTAAAACCACTTGGAAAATGTCTCAAACTTATTTGAAATTCAACATACATATCATACTACAAAATTAACTAGATTGCTACTCCATGCTTATAATGTCAGATCAAAATTTATTCAAAAAAGTAAAAGTGAATTTGTGCAAATCCTAAAGAAGCTTGCTGTTGTTGTTATTTAATTACTGTAAAAAACTATATGCCAAGTATGCTGCAATGAAAAAGTTGATAAATTTCCAATTCTTTCTAAATACATTCATCTTTTTAATTCAGAGATGGGACCAAATCAGTGGCGGATCTAGAAGTGGGAGTACTGGGAGCGTTGTAAGCCGTATTTGTGTTGAAAGATAGTTAAAGTGATTGTTTTAGCGTGAAAAGTAGTGTTTTTGAAGGGAAAATTAACATTATAGCCAATCGGCAGAAAAGTTGGCCCCCGTCAAAATATTGAACCCCCGTGAGCACAGAAAAGTTAGCGAAACAAATTTATGAAATTTCCCCCCGGTCACCAAGTTTTGTGTAAATTTCCCTCCCTGGTTATCGACTATCTTTTTAAAAAACCCCCACGGTCAGGAAGTATTTTTAAAATCTCTCCCCTGTTCATCGACTACTTTGGAAATCCGCCCGCCGGTAGTCAACTTTTATTTTGAAAATTTCAAATTTTTTTCAAAATCATGGCCCTCCGTCAAATTTGTCTAGATCCGCCACTTGACCTAATAGTTTGATCAATGAACCTATTGGTCAAATGCATAGAAATAAGTTTTTTCAGGCAAGTTTAAACAATCATACCTTTTTAGATTTTCAAAACACGTGCTAAACAAATAATTAAAACAGATGAAACAAATTATCATGTATGGAGGTTTTGGAGGAATAAACCCCATAGTTGCAGAGGTTATCTGTGGAATAAATCACTGATTATATAAACGATTAGAAAAATGTGAGGGAAATGCAAGGATTTCCATTCAAGACTCGTCCAAAATTGGTTGTTATAAAAAAAAGTTTAAACTCAAGAGAGAAATTTTTTAAATAAGCAGTCCTCTCGAAGATGAAAAGTTTTTAGAATAAAAAAGCAGTTGTGAAACATGTTTGTTGAGAGAATGGATGCAAAAAAGTGAGTTTAAAAATTATTTTGCATGTACTTAAAAATAGATCAATTTTCATCGTCTAATAAAATCAAGCTTATCAAAGCAACAAAAACAGATTGAAAAAACTATTGATTAAATTAAACTTATAAAAAAAAACATTCATCGCCAAGAGGACATCAACCATGTATAAACAAGAAATAAAAGAAAATAACTTTAGCGATAGAATCAATCAGAGAAATTCTTGTGATTGAGTTGCCTTCAACCGCAATTACTTGAGGTAAGGAGTCCTTGTTATAATCCACCAAGCATAACACAGCCTCAGCTCCCATACGACTCGCCTTTTAGTGGAAAACATTTACCATTGAATAATTTTCTACTTTTTTAAATAGTCTTCGATTTTTAAACGCACTAATTTTTGCAATTGTATCGAATGAAAGAGAGGTTGAATGAATAAATAAAAGAAAAGACACATGAATTTTAATGGAAGCATTTAAACGAGCCTACCAATATTCTGTCATATGCAGATGGATGTCCACCTCGCTGTATATGTCCCAGGATTGTTATTCTTGTATCAAGCTTCACATTTTCAACTATTAACTATGTTAAAAATTTAATTAACAAATTTAACAAAAATTTATGAATGTTAACGTCAAAAGTCAGTTTATATTTCTAAAATTTCAAAACGAAAACTTAGAAATTGTTAAAAATAAACAAAAATTTTCTAAAACTAGCATCTTTTATTTGATTAGGGGTGATTGGCCTTCCATTTTTATCAGTTGCACCTTCGGATACGATGATTAAATTCATCCTTTGCCCTGAATCTCTCATCTTTAAAATGTGTCCATTGCATGATTGGATAATGATATTGAAACTAAGTAAACATGATAGAATAAAGAGAAATCAACAAAAAAAAGAATGAAAAAATCAACCTTGATCAATCTTTCACACATTTTTTCTTCCCACCCTTTCTCCGGGGGATATTCTGGAATAAACAGCCAATCAGCTTCAGAAGCCAAAGCAGCTGCAACACCTAAAAATCTTGTAGTTTCAAAACATTTCATCAATTGTAATGAAAGCAACAAACATTTTAACTAAATCTTAATGTCACGCGAAATATCCTCCAAGAACTACTAAGGAGTGTACATAATAATAATAATATTATTATTATTAATAATAATAATAATAAAACGGAATTTCATATTTGAAATAAATTATTAAACGAATAATGAAAGAATGAATCCTACCCACAATGCCTTCCCATTACTTCTAGAATGAAGCACCTTTGATGGCTGAAATGACGTTTTTTATAATTGTCAACAAAATATAAATTGAAAACTGTAACCAGCATTTTTTTAATTAGGAAAAAACTTAAATGATGAAATTGTTGAAAATGACTATGAACGTGAGATTCAGTACTGGATTATGTATAAGCAAAACAAGTTGAACCCTAGGTGTCCCGCTTTCATGTTAGTCCCCAAAAATTAAAATTTGCCACAGCGTAAATCTCCAAGTATTTTTGAATCAAAGTTTTAGAAAAACATTTTTCAAAAATGTAATCGTTTTTTAACTAGGTTTGGTTTACAAATATTATTAAATTGTAATATTATTTTATTAGCGTTTTATAGCTACGGTTGTTTGAGTAAAAGACAAAAACACAGGAACATTTTGAATTGAGGAATCTGAATTTATGGTTCGTTATATTTGTAGAGTTACTTGCTAGATGAATTCTACGAAACAATTCAGTCACTTCAAACCACCCAAATTAGTCAAGATGCAGATAGAAAACTGTGTTCCTTATCTTTAGATATTGTTATTAAAGATTTCAAAAAAATGTCCGATCATTTTGAAAAAAAAATTGTTTTATGTCGACTTGAATCTTGTAGGAAAAGTCAAACGTTTCCATCTCCATGTTAAACATAACCGGAGGTTAGAAAATAGAGATAGTTTGGCACCTCATATCTGAATAAAGTAACATTTAATGATTGTGTCCAATCAGAATTTCATAATGTAGAAGTAGTTTAGAGATTATTTTTCAGTGTGGTGATGAGAAATTACTCTGGGGAAGATTCCCCTTCCAACTGGGAATAAAATAAATTCAAAACACAGTATAAAATAGACTCTCTTAGTCTTATGTGTGTTGTATTTTACTAAATGTGTTACTAAAAGTTGATATTAAAAGATTAAAAGACAATTGGTGATCTCAAACGTTTGCATTAAGGATCCAACAAAAATGGTACTTGAAACTTTGAATAATATAGGAATGGAATTATCTGCCAGTGGAAAGTATCAATCAATCAATCAATCCTCGTTTATAGTCTCCATCCGATATGGGTCAGACTTTTTATTCAAGTATCAATCAATCAATCCTCGTTTATAGTCTCCATTCGTTATGGGTCGGACTTTTTATTCCATTCATAAGTTTCTGTCTCCAAGCCGATCTATCCATTGCGTCTGTCTCCTTGAGACCAAGCGCATTCAAGTCCTCCTGTATGGTCTTCGTCCAGGACTTTTTTGGGCGACCACTTGGGCGGGTGCTAGGCACCTGGTGCTCAGTAACGAAAATTATTGTATTGTTTTCGCTTCGCTTCACATGGCCAAACCATAGTAGGCGATGATGATGACATGCATCCTTCAACGTGCACAGCCCCGATCGGTTCGAGATCTCGGTTGTATGGATATAGTCCCTCAGGTCAACATGCTGCATCCAACGAATCATTTTTATGTCAGTTCGGTGAAGCTGCTGTTCGAGTTTTGTTGTCATCGGCCACGTCTCTGAACAGAACAGAACGTATAGCTGTGTTGTATAGTTCTGAGCGCAGCGATAGAGGAATGCTACGCCGCATCAGTACAGAGGCAAGAAGGTGCCATCTGCCGCACGTATGCGTCCACGAACGGCGACATCAGCTGTTCCAGTACAATCCAGCATATCTCCTAAATAATGAAATGAAGTAACCGTTTCGATCCCGGTAATCGTATCATTATCCGGGCTCCGTTCTCGCGAGTTGATGCAGGCGGGGCATACGAAATCAGTCACTTTCCTCAGTGAGCCGGTAATTCTCGAGCATCGTCTGTGACACCACTGCTGACATCTTAAGCATTTGACCGAGTTGCTTCCAACTCTAGCCTGTTGCGATGCGTTTGATGTTTGAGAACATCGAACCAAGAAGAGCAGTAAGCGAAGAAAAAAAAGAATGGTATTCGTTTGGATAGGCTGGACACGTGTTTCGTCCCTACCAGGGACTCATCAGCAGCCCGAATACTTATCAGAATAGTTAACGCAGTTTCTTATAAAGCCCGCACAAATCACCTCGTTAGTTCGAGGTGTTTTATTTATTAGTCTTTTAGTCGCTAGGATTTTCAATCCGACAAACCCCACACACCAAACATGGCCAATGACCAGAGACCACAAGCTCAGCGGTACCACCGGTGATCATAGTTTTTGTTTTGTCAAGGTTTACCTTTAGCCCGTGTTTGATAAGCTGGGTATTCCAGACCTCAAACTTTCTGGCTGCGTCTTGTTCCGAGGCCGCCGTCAGGACGATATCATCTGCATATATCACATTCCATATGTTATCTGAGCGTATTGGTATGGTTATTTCTTCCATCACAGTGATGAAGAGCAGGGGGCTGAGTATTGATCTCTGATGAAAGCCGACGTTAATATCAAATTCATTCAAGAGTTTTGGTGTTAGAGTACGTTGCCATAATCATCCGAACCAGATGTTCGGGAACAAGCTGTCTACGTAGACTCCAACTGATTGCCTCAAAAGCATTTTCCAAGTCCACAAAGACATGGAACAGTCGCTTTTGTTTTGCCAAGTATTTTTCCTGTAGTTGACGAATGATATAGAATAGCATCAATGGTAGATCTCCCTGCCATAAAGCCGTACTGGTAACCAGCTATTGAAACGCACGACACCAGTCTTCTCTCAATGACTTTTTCAATAACTTTCAGGGAATGTTCCAGAAGACGTACACCCTAATATGAGGAGCATTTCAGTGGATCTCCTTTTCCATTATATGCCGGTACAGTTGTGCTACTGTTCCATTCCACTGGTAGTATCGATTTACTCCACATCTCCTGACAGATGTGTAAGTAGGCTCTGAAGTCTGCCCCACCAGATGCCTTGATGATATCATTTGTAAGTCCAGACGGACTAGCCGCTTTACCCACCTTCATTGCCTTCAACGCATCCGTAAGCTTCTCAGGTGTAATGCCCTGAATCGGTCCTTCCACCTGAAGTGCATCAAAGTCAACCCCAATAGGGTTTGTTTCATCCAATAACTAACCGAAGTAATCCTTCCAGTGATCCTTCACTTCATTCTGCAAGGTTATTATGGTGCCTTTATTATTCTTTATGCATGTGGCACCAACTATATCCTTTTTCAGTTTTTTGGCCTGATTTGCTATTCGATAGGGTGACCGAATTTGTACGCTTTTACTTCCAGACAAACATATCTTGCATTGATTTGCACTCAATGCCAGTGGAAAGTATAGGAGCAATAAATATCACAAACTTCATAAACTCTGAAAGAGTAACTTTTATACCTGGAATTGGCGGCAAGAAACAAATTTCTTGCACTGTAATAAACTTTTATAAACTCAGATATGACGACTATTCAGCTATTACCATGAAACTTTATACTGAAATTGTGCTGTCGTATTCTTTATATTGTACATTTTATTGGAAGCCATAGTGGCATCGGCCTTACACATATTAATACATTGATGAAATTATTAGTGTTAATGAATGGCTTTATCTTCCTGCCGTCAAATTTTCATAGATTTTATTTTACATCAAACTTTTTTTGTTTTTTCTTGTATATATTTCATATTAACTTTTAATGCAACCAATGCATTTTTTCAAAGTATCAAGAACTGCCCTTCGTGCTAAAAATTGTTTGAACAAGTGTTAGGAGGCAAATAATAAATTATATTATTTGTTAACTTGTTAGTTTACATGTGTACTTTATACTTCCAAATTAATATTTTGAATAATAAGTATTACGTAAAGTGATTCTTCACACTACAACTAATACTGATGTGAAATCTCAATTCAGTTAAAAAATAAATGACATTTAATTAATAAACCTAGTAGCAGTTGTCTGAATGTTATCAAGGGCAGATACAATTCTTGATAGAGCTGAATCAGTTCCTATGGTCATGTCAGTACTTGCGAAATCATTATCTATTGAAGCTACCAGGCCGACAACATTCAACAAACTTACGTTAATAGCTTTTTGTTGAATTATTTGACCTGCGTTTATATATACAAATCATATCAGAACTCAGATAAATATTAAAACGATCAATTTTTCAAGGTTAAAAATTATAAAACAAAAAATGTTTCTAAACAATTACTTGTTTCTACAAGTTCTGAAATCAATAAATGCCATTCTTGTTTCAAAGTGTTGATGCCAGTCATGGTTCCATCGCCTCCAATAGCTATCAAGTTAGATATACCTAACATCACTAAATTGTAAGCAGCTTTCAGCCGACCTGACCTTTCCATAAATTCTGGACTACGAGAACTGCCCAAAGAAGTACCTCCCTGAAATAGTGCAGAATTTATGAAATTGTACACCTTCCATTTAAATAAATTTAATTAAACTAACTAAATGCAAAATGCCTGAAACTGATTTCCAGTCGGCAAGAAAAATATAATCGCCACCAGTTATCAAGCCCTGAAAACCCTTCAAAATATCAAATATAAAAAATGCTAAAAATTATATTTTAAATGACCAAAAGTTGTTGTCAGATAAGTAGTTTTTATAAATACAATATAAAAAAAAGTACAAATATACAAAAATGTAAAATAAATTTTTTCAGTTTTTCTTTAAAAACAAGTTACTTAATTGCCAATTAATAAAATCGTAAGAGTTTTCGCCAAATATTCGAAAATGTGTGTTCTTAATTTATACGAAACCAATGTATCTATCTGTATGTGTGTATAAGTGTGCATATATTTGTGTGTTTATATGTATAAAAAACATTGCTGTTTGATTTGTATTGTTTAATGGTTCAATTTTCCTTCTTTGGTTAATTTTGTGGGGTTATTCATTTAGTTGTTTATATATTTTTAATTTTGAAACAAATTGAACTTTATTAAAGTTGCTTATTTCTACTCAGTTCTAGGGTAGCCCAACAAGTATTTTCTTTGGGACTCCAAGCAATTATGTTTTTGCAATTCGTTTTTTAACTTAAAGAAATGAATTGAAAATTTAATTGAAAACCATAAGCTGTGGTATGTTTGTTCATAGAATTTTTGTGCAGTTTTGAAAAAAAATTTTTAATTTTTTACCAATTTATTATTATTTCATCTGACAACAACATCCATATACATTAATTTAAAAAAATCATATTTACTGCAAAACTAAAAACAATCCTAAACGGTTATTCAGTTTTTAATGAATGACAAAAAAAATCATGAATCAATCATGTCTTCTATGAAATATTTTAAAAATAACCTCTTTTATTAGAAAAACTTTATATTCAAGAAAGATTGCCATTCTTAAACAAGCTCTAACTGTGGCATTCATCCCTTTTCAAACAACCAAGAAGGTTTATTATTAATTTATTTTTCCGTATATGAATACACACACACCACACACTCTCTCTCACACACACACACACACACACACACACACACACACACACACACACACACACACATATGAAAAATACCTTGTGCATCTCCACCACTAGTTAAAATAGCAATGCTCTGTCCTTTGCCTGCACCTCTGGCATATTTTCTTCCTTCAACTGTTATCACATCGGTCTCCATATCTATTTTACATTTTAAAAACAAAAATGAAAAATTAAATTAATAAAAGCTACATTATACAGTTATTTTAAAAAATCAAACGTTAGAGATAAAGAAAACTTAGTTATAATTCGTACAAAATGTACAGTACAAGTTACTTGCATTTAATTTTTACTACAATAATAATAATTAAATAATATGATAACCATTTTATTTTATCTACGACACCAATTTAAATATTTTATAAATATGTTAGAAAGATTGAAATACTTGCCAAATACTTGCGCCCGACTCTTTTTGGATCAAATATTTATTTGGACAAAATATTCCTCTGCCTAATTTCTAAACAACCTGAACTTTTTAAAAATGTCAAAACCGTTGTCGATGAGTTAGTTGCTTGGTTGTCAAGGATTTATTTATTGACAGACATTTTGCTGAGCTTAACTTAATAATAATTATTAAAATAATAATAATTGAAATGTTTAAAGCATATGCAGCGAAATATGTCAATAATGTTAAACATGTCCTAGCTTAAATTCACATCTTTATTTAATTTTTCTATATATTATTAAAATATATTGATTGTGGTATGAATTTTTATCATTGGGCATTTATCATACAAATGATTTTTGTCAGCTTTTTCATGAAATTTTTTTAATTAAATATTTAAAGTTATCTTGATTTACTTGTTGTCTTAATTTACCATGGTCTAAATTTTAAGTACTCCGCTACAATATATGTTTGAGCTTGTTTCAAATGAATAGTTTGAGGAATTTTTTGCTATTACTTTTCTATGATTCTCATGAGCCACATGAGCACGGCTGTTTTGATTGGTAAAAGTACAAAGTGGATGGCATTATCATTTCTTGAAAAATCTTGAATATTTGAGAGCCAGTAAGATATGATGAAGGTAGGTATTCAGGTTGTTGAGGCGAATTAATTTTTGATGAGTAATTGTAGTTGTTGTGTAGTAAAGCTAGACCAGGAAAGGGCTGCTTATTTAACGTGTGGGATGATGCACTGTGGTGTGTATATGTGTGTTTGTGTGTGAGTGAGTGTGTGTTTGTGTGTGTGTGTGTGTTTGTGTGTGTGTGTGTGAATGTAATTTTTGGACTATTTGTGTAATTTGTAGTGTGTAATTTTAGACAACGTTATTTTTGAACTATTAGGTTATTTTGAACCGTTTCTTGAAGAGTTTTTAATCCATTTCAATCCTGAAGCTTATTTCAACACTGTTGACTTTAAAACTGGCAGCACAGCCATAGTCATCAGTAAAGTTTTGAATAGATTGGTATTGCCAACGTCTTTCAATTTTTCGTAGAATTTTGATTTTTCTAATTTAGGTGATCATATCATATCTGTTTGTTGTATATTTATATAACGCAGGAAAATTTCTTAGGTGAAACTTCACCGCTTTTTTATATTAATTATATATAAATATAACTGAGTAATCTGTTAAGATGGTTTATTTAAACTTTTTCATTCATAAAAATAAATAATATAGATATATATGTATGTGTTTGTGTGTGCGTGTGTTTGTGTGTGTGTGTGTTTGTGCGTGTGTGTGTGTGTGTGCGTGCGTGTGTGTGTGTGTGTGTGTGTGTGTGTGTGTGTGTGTGTGTGTGTGTGTGTGTGTGTGTGTGTGTGTGTGTGTGTGTGTGTGTGTAACAGTATGTAACTGTCAAACTTTTTTTAAATGTATCTAGATTCGGTGTACTTTTAAAAACGAGGCGTGTACAATAATATGATAGATTTAGCGCCATTAGCGTCAAGGGGACTATGAGTTAACGTAATTTCTAAATCTGGCATTATCCTGGCTAACAGTGATGATGTTTCGTCCAGAATTCTCCTAATTAACATACCCCATCTTCGGTTTTTATCATCTTCGCTATCAACATCTTCAAAAATATATTACATTGCTCTTGTTAGTAAATTGAAAAATTCCATTACAGGAATTCTTAAATTTTGGAATAATGTAAGTATGTAACATAACATACATTACCTGAATATAACATTAGTTTTTTTGTAATTTTCCAATCAATGTCTACCAAGTTTTGAGCAACAGTTTCATTTAACTCTCTAATTAGGTTAGTTTCCGATAATTCATCCGTACAGCCTTTTTAAAATTAAACTGATGAATAGTTTAAAATTTAGGCAAATTACATTATATCATACATACCCTGATAAAGCTCTATAAATTGGTTCCATTTTTTCATTCGTTTCATTGGTCTCAAATAATTGTTCACTACATATTCCTCTAAGCACATTTTGGAGCAAAATTTTTTTCGTATTTGAGGTTCCACATGATCGTGCTCTGTCTCCTCTATAGGTCTTTTGCAAACGTTGGATTTGCATTTTGGGCCGCGATATTTACAAATTCTTTCGTGACGACTTAAATATTTCAGTTCTAATTCTTCAGTGCATCCGTTGCCTTTAAAAGAGCATAGAACTTTCAAACTCGATAATTCCGATAGGTATTGAGGCTGAGGTTTTGTTAAATCTTCAAGTTGCAATCGATGTCTGCACAGAGGGCACGTTCTGGCGGAATTTCTTATCCAATGCGCTACACAATTAAAACAGAATATATGTTTACATGGAGTTTCTTTAGGCTGATACACAACCATTTTGCAGATTGGACAGCTAAACTTGTTAATATCGTCTAAAGAATTGGATGAACAATGTTCTGTCATATTATCGGAATAAGTAATTTAAAAATATGTTGTTTAATGGAAATAACTTAAAAATAATGATGACTGAATGACACATTTAACAAATTAATAAAAAAGATTGATAAAATTGTTTTTTATGTACAATTTAAAATGTTTGTGTATGATGAAAATAAGTTATTTTGACGTAATTCTGTGGTCTTCAATTTTTCAAGACAAAAATATTTTTTAATGGTTTTATTGTAAATGGTGATGACTGTTTGATAGTATTAATAATGGAATTACAGTTTCTGCAGAGATAAAAAAACGATATGAATCAAAAAAAAAATATAATAATGAAGGATCAAAAACAAAAAAAAAATGATGAAAAATCTAAACAGTGGCGTTAAGAGAGTCGTGTGCTATGCCTAAACGCAGTACTGTAAACAAAAAATAATAATTTAATTTAGGCTGGAATTACACTACCGTCATATATATATATAATACATATAATATACATATAATATAAAAACATAATGATATATTCTATATATATGACTACCGTGTTCTTCACAAATTGCGCTTTATTGGAAGCAACATATACGCATTGACATAACACAAAATCGGATTTGAGGAGAACAAACAAGATAAATATTAGGTATTGCTTTTTTTATAACTCCGCAAAAGAAAGGCTCCACAAGAAATATGAATATCTGAATTTTGATAAAATCATCAACTGGTTTTAGTTAAAAAAGCTCAAAAAGTTCCAGTTGTCAATCCAACAATTTACAGTATTTAATAACTTACATTTGACTTTTACATAATAAATTTCTCTACATTCTTCGTTGAAATGACATTATTTGCCGACGACAAATTTTTTAAAGACTTGACAACAAGATATTTCTTAATTCGCTCCTTCATTTTTTCTATGCCCCGAAGTCAAACACTTAAATACAAGGAACCGTGGTAAATGAATAAATGTTTTTGCTTTGGGGTATTTGCTGCTCAATTGTTGATTTTTTTATATGTATTATATACATGAATGTGAGTTTTTTAAATGGTTATTTTTGGCGTTTATAATTTAATTTTTTAGTTCATTTCCATTGTTGTTTAGATGCAATGTTTTGTTGTATTAAAATTTTGAGAGCTGATTGTAGAACCAATTGGTACATTAAATAATAGAAATGAGTTTGCCACTGTTGCTACTTTATCGGCATTTCATTCCTGGGATCCCTACATGGCTTGGGATTGGGACTCAAAGATATTTCATGCGACTATGTTTGACAATTGATAAATAATGAATTTTAATTTTTTACTAAATGGTTTTTGTGTAAATATATGTTATTGAATTATATTTAACTTTTCATATTTTTGAATTTCTAAAAAATTTGTCAAAAAAAGTGTCGGTGTGTGTACGATTCAGGAATTATATTTAACTTTTCATATTTTTGAATTTCTAAAAAATATGTCAAAAAAAGTGTCGGTGTGTGTACGATTCAGGAGCTTCTTTTGATGGTAATTAATTGAGGATTTTAATTTTTTCAAATTATTTGTAATTTTTTTTAAATTTTATATTAAATTAAGAGATTATTTTTTCTTTTTTATTGAGTAGATTATATAATGATAACAAAACAGGAATAACGCGAATATGTTTATAGCTCGATTCCCATACAAAATATAATCTGTGATGTTGATCAGTTTGATTTTTTTTTATTAACTTTTTTCAATTTACTTTAATTTTTTAAATCGATTTACGCTTCGTTCTGAAATTACTCAAAAGTATTTATAATCTTTCCCGCCTTTTGTAACTCGCCATTTTGCGTTAACGATTGTTTCTTTTTTGTTTTTCTTTCAGTTATTCGAAGTTTTTTTTAGATAAAAGTTAGATTTGTATGAGGTAATATATTTAAATATAACCTAACTTATTGTAATAATTTGCGTAATAAAACATTTTATTCACCATTTCATTATATTCATCCTTATTATTACGCTTAGTTGCATCACGTGCTTTTCCGGCTGTGGAGGGATGACCAATCTAATTGTGAATTATTTGCCCCAAAATATGTCTCAAGATGAAATAAGGTCATTATTTGGAAGCATTGGAGAGATGGAAAGTTGTAAGCTTATTAGGGATAAATACACCGGTAATATTTTGTTAAATAATTGAAAGAGTAAAGATAAAAAAATTGTTATTTTTTTGGTGGGTGACATGGTTGGTACGTTTTACTGTTCGAAAAGTATTTTCGTTTTATTTTATGCTGATCCGATATCAACGATAAATTTTTAATTGAATAATCATTGGGTGTATTTCCATTTGCTTGTTTGCTGTGTTTGAATCAGTTTTTGAACTATGTTATGTTATTTTATTAGTTATTGAATTATATATTTTATTATAATTTATAATATAACACTCATTCATTATATATGTTTTATTGAGAAAAAGCATAAGATGGCAAAGGCTGAATACCCAAAAGCCCAAAGTATTGAACATAATTTTGTTTTTTTGAATGTAAAACAGGCTTTTCTTAAAAAGGCTTTTTAAGCCTTCTCAAATTTAAATTTTAAAAGATTGATTTTGAGGTGAAGCAATTGTTTCTGACATTTTGAAACATTTAATATTAATAATAATTTGCCATTTACTTTCAATGTACCAACATTTATAATATAACCATAATATGACATGTATAAATTGATTATAATTACATTTTTATTATATATGCTACTAAATAATTTTTTATTTTTCAGTCACTTCAAAATCTGTTTTTCCAATCTCTTTCTTCCTGCCTATTTTTCTTCATCCCTGGTTGAACTATTATTCACAGTTTGGCACTTAGTAGTTTTGCTAAATTATATAAAATTTATTATTGTTGTTATAGGTCAAAGTCTTGGTTATGGATTTGTCAATTACAGAAATCCAGCTGATGCACAGAGGGCTGTAGGATCTTTGAATGGTTTAAGATTACAGAATAAAATGATTAAAGTTTGTCATTTATAATTTTGAATTTCAAAATAATAAGTTTAAAAATGTATTTATGCTTATCAGTAGCTATGTTGGTTGAGCAGCTCTATATTTTAGTTAGCAGCTGTTGAAATTCTGCCTGTTTATTAGGTGTATTATGTCATTATGCATATAATGCTAGACTTAGAAATGATTTATCTTAACATAATGATTTGAAAAGATCTTGTCCAGGTAAACCTGAGTAGAAGATGAAAGTGAGATCAAGTCTGCAAGATAAATATTTATATTTTTAATTTTTTCAAGGTCTCGATTGCAAGACCAAGTTGTAGCCTTATTAAAGGTGCAAATTTATATGTTGGTGGCATCCCTAAGTCTATGACTGTACAAGATCTAGAAAATTTATTTTCACCTTGTGGGAATATTATTACATCCAGGATACTGATTGATCCTAAAACTGGTCAGATTTTAAAAAACTTTTTTATACATCAGGTAAATTTAGTGTTGTTAAAATTGATTTTTCATCTAATTTCAAGTTTAGTACCAAAAAGATACAAAGGCTGCTTGGCTACACATGAATTTTTTAAAATTCTCTTGTACTTTTTAAAAATATCAAGACACTGTTTGGGTGGCAAAATGTTTTGTTCATAGAGATTCTGCTTCGAACCTTTCTTTTAAAAAATTTTTATTTTGGAGAAATAGTTATTGAATAGGTTTTATTGGCGTAGTTCATAGATTAAATCTTTAGATCTAATTTCATGATTCTGGCAAAGATAAGAAAAGCTCTTGCTTTTATTAGTTCTTTAAATGTAAGATTTATGTCATAATTTTGCACACGGTTTCTTTTCTCATTCTTAATATCTGCTGAAACACTTGAATTATTTTTTTAAATCTGGCAAATCTTGTAATATTTACTTTTTGTTGCTACTCTAGAAAATGAAATAAGATGTATGAAAAGTTGTGGCATCTTGAACTATATTCTGAAATGACTTTATTGCAACATTTTTTAAAGTTGCTGAGGTTTGGTTTGGCTGTAGATAATTATTTTTCTTTTCACTATCTCATTTTTCTTAACATATGATCAGCTTTTTTATATTTCTATAAGCTAGAAATCAGTCTCATTTACTGCCATTTACATATTTCATCACAAAACATTTTTATCTCATCTGTAGATGCTTTTCTATCCAACCCCTCGACTTTTTTAACATCTAACCATATTATTCTATTCTATGTTGCATGTAATTTTCAACTGGTAGTCTTATTTAAAAATTTTTTTAAATTAATAAAAAATTGTCAAAATAATCAATGTGAATATTAGTGAACAGTTATGTAATTGGAAATGTTCAAAGAATTTATAATGGACCATTCTTTGTTGTCAAATTATATTGTCCATATTTTATAGAAAAATCTAAAGGTGTTGGGTTTGTGAGGTTTGACATGAGACTTGAAGCTGAAAGAGCAATAAAGCAACTCAACGGGATTCTACTCTCTGGTTCTTCTGAACCTATGACTGTAAAATTTGCTAACCATCCCAGTTCACTTCAAAATATTACAACAACCATTTCTTGTCAATCTCCAACTTCTAAACATCAACAACAAACTTCTCCTTTTTCTCCTAGAGAAAAATCTGGCGGGTATATTTATTTTATTTAAACATAAATTCGTTTATTAAGTTAAATGGTTATAAATTTTTACCTGAAGGTACTGTCTGCTTGTAGATAATCTATCTCCTGAAACTGATGAAGTGGGTTTGTGGCAGTTGTTTGGACCTTTTGGAGCTGTCCAAAATGTTCAACTGATGAGAGATAACTATTCAATAAGTAAATCAGCTATCAACACTTCTCACTATCGACGATATGCTTATGTCACCATGACCGATTATCATGATGCTGTCCTTGCAATAGCCTGGTTGAATGGTTTAAAAATAAATGGTGAAGAACTTCATGTTTCTTTCAGAAGGGGTGGTAATGGCGTCAATATAAAAGTTTCTGAAGGCTGTGCGTGATTAAAATATATTCATTTTAGGTTTTTTTTAAACTCTGGTTACCAAATTGATTTCTATTATCTACTCTGAATTTATTTTACTCCACATTTTTAACGATATCATGAAATAATTTTTTGTTTAAATTTATTTTGAAATAGAGATCTTGTTTTCATTTTTCTGTTGAATTTTCATATTTTGTTGAATGAAATCAAACAATCAAATCACATTTTAACTTTTTTTATCATTATTCTTGTTATTATATTGTGACGTTTTTAGTAGATTTCAAATAGTTAAGTTATGTGAATTCTTTTGAAAAGTCTGACTAGAATCTGAAGATTTGACTAGCCTTTATCCATTTTTAAATTTATTTTTAAGCATTATTTCAGTAAACCCTCAGCCTATTCGTAATTAATTTCATTTACCAATTTTGTTTGAAGTCAAAAAAAATTTGTTGCTTACAGCTCAACTGAAAATAAGATTGTGCTATGCGTCAATTGAAAAATTATATTATGTGTACGACAAATTTTTCGTTTTCGTAGTTTCGTTGATTTTTCTTATTAATGCGAAGTAGATTCCATGACCGTTCTGTAACAGTAATGGCTCAAGCTTTCATAGTGTTTTAAGTTTGACCTTTAGTGCGAGGTCGTGTTTTTTTGAAAATTTTTAGTGCAGTTGTGAATTGCTCCTGCCATCGCCAGTGTTCTTTTGATTCACTTTTCGCTTCTGCTAATTTTTTATGTAAAAAAAATCAACCTCTTTCTAATCCCTTAGTTGCATCTTGCACCGTCATGTTTGGTGATCATCATATTGGCCCATTTATTTTGGATCCCAGTTTTCGCTGTCCAATGCCAACGACTCTGTTGGGCTACTTAATATTATGCTAGTAGTAATCGTCGTGACTTTATTGCATAATCTAGCACTCTGTTGAACAGTTTTGGAAATCTAGTGCACCCTGTTTTAAATCCCTTAACAATGGTTTTAATCCCGTCGTATTGTGTTTGCATCCTGCCGTTTCTAGCTGCTGATTTCCGTGTAAATACGGTCAAAAGTTTGACCAATTTTTTTACTTTAATTTCTTACACGCTTTTCCGCACCGCTATACAAATTTTCAATCACTGTTGCAATTTTTTTATAAACAAACTTAAGAACTTATGAAAACTTAGCATGTACTTTTCCTTAAAGAGAATCATAACCCTGCGCAAATTTAGACTAAAATTGGCTTGTAGTGTTTGCTCTGACAAAACGTTTATCATCTGCGGCGACTTCAACGCACCACCACCTCTCTTTGGTATTGATCATCACTTATCTTCGTTATTAGAATCTTTCTATCTCACTCAACACGTCAGCTCCTCTACACATGTACATGGCAATTCGTTGGACCTCGTAATCACTCATACCAACAACAACGTTGTAGATAACCTAACTGTCAATGATTGCGTTTTTTCAGATCACAACATTGTGTGCTTCAACATTGTGCTCTTCAAACCACCATCGACAATCATCCATAGCTGCCGTCGCAGCTTTCGTCGTTTAAATTACACGTCATTCGAAAATGGTGTAAACAGAACATTTGATGATTTGCTCTCACAAGATTTGGAGGTCGATTCGATGAGTTTGCGTCAGCTATAAACTCAACTTTAAATGACATCGTCATTTAACACGCACCAATCAAGCGTTACTCGTTTCGTGAGAGCTCCCACCCTCGTTGTTCTTTATCCCAAGAAGCAATAGCTGTTAAAAGAAATTGTCGTCGTATGGAGCGTCACTACAAACATGACAAATCAGTGCTCAACTTCGTCAACTACAAAAATGCTAAACGTGTTGCTCGTGATGCTATTATGAGGTCTTGGATCGATTCTATTAAGAACACTCTCTACAACTGCCTCAACTCCCGTGATCTCTGACATCCTCTTAACAACATTCTTCACAAACGCTCAAATCATCATTTTTTGATGCTGAACCTCTTATTCTTGTATCTTCTTTTGCTAACTTTTTCTAGGAAAAAATAAATTCTAATCATCAATCTATTGCTACAAAATTGCTTCTTCTAACATTCCTTCTTCAAACAATAGAGTTATTACTCGTACTATCACGTTTAGATTATTGTAATTCTCTTCTCTATGGTCTTCCTTCCTACCTTTTAACTTTACTTCAATGAGCTCAAAATAGAGTTGCAAAAGTTGTTTTAAATATCAGTAATTTATCTTCCAGCACAGATTCACTCATTCTTCATTCAACTAAATTGGTTACCAGTACGTCAACGCATTATATTTAAATTCGCAGTCCTTACGTACAAGTTACTTAATACATCTCAACCACCTAATACATCTTCATCAACTTATATCGCGTCGTTCATCAACTCGTCAACCTCGTTCGTCTTCATATACTCAGTTGCATCAACCTGTCAGCAATTCATCAGTTGTCAACAAATGTTTAACATACAGCTCTCCACCCGTATGAAAGGGTTTGCCTGCTATTATTCGTCAACAGCTAACCAACAAACTTTTTAGGAAACGTCTAAAGAACTTTTTGTTTATCCAGACCTACAGAAACGTCAAAAATCATTGTTTATCCAAGCGCCCCTGAAGCTATGCATATGACGCGATATAAGTTAATAATAATAATTATAATAATTGCACTTAATTCTAGCATCCTAAGTATGATATATTTTTTATTCTAAGTATATAACATGATAAGATCTAGTCTGAACGTCCTCTTCACTTCCTGAAACTACATTTATACTCAAAGCTTTTCATTTATTCTAATTTAATGTGGTGACGTTTGTTTGGCGGACAAAATCTTCAAAGCATAGATTGAAAGCCATTTCAGCATCTGAGCAATTCAATCGAAAATAAAAGTTGAATTGTTTACTTTAGCGTAACCTAACTAAGGAATGTGATTGATGAATTTTAAATTTGAATTGAAATCCTGTCTTACAACGAAGTTTAGCTTAGTTTACTTAGATAAAAATGAAAAATCACCGAAAAGTCGCTAGTTGGGCCACAAACACGTTACGGCCGATTCGAAAAATTGATATAAAAGCTTATTTTTGGCTACAATAGGTAACATAAGGCGTTCAAAAGTGTAGTATCTGGATACGTCTAGTGTCTGAATGTGTCTGGATAAAATGTAGAACGCTGAACCAACGTTAAACCGTTGAAAGGAAGTTTACAAAATTTTGGATTTAAATTAAAATAATTAGTGAGTTAGTAAGCTGATATTTTTTTTAATTTAAATATATTTTGAAAATATTGATTTTTTAAACATTTGTACACGTAATTATGAATGCTGTTTTAAAATTATTTATTTTATTTTAAAATAAGCAAAAATGAATCACTTTAAAACTTATGTTCAACTGAATTCTTCCCCGAAAAATAACAAATACTTCATCACATTTCTTTTTAAAACAACTCGTCATATAATAAAAATGCCAATTTTTGTTAATGAAATCAGCCGATTAACCAGCTTTTACAAATTTGAAAAACTGCAGGTTTATTAATGTGAAATATTTTAGCTGAAAGTTGTGCATAATTAAACTCAAGAACAAACGAAACATTCCATTTCTAGTAACAATCAGTTATAGCTTTAATGAGTTAAAAAAGTATATATAGAATAAAAACCTTTTTGTTAAGCAGTGAATGTGTTACGAAAGTAAAATGGTTACAAACCTTTCATTAAGCAATGAATGTAGGCCATCATGTATTAACAAAATTATTCAAAATAAAAAACTTAATTCAACAGAGCCACTTCCAATAATGAGTTGCGAGGTTAATTTTGAATATTGATAGCATTTAAAGCTAAGTTTTACCGAAATTCATTCATTTAAAAATGTTGCTCTTGGCAACCTAAAAAATTATCTGGCAAATGTGCCATAGTTTTATCTGAATGTCTTTGGTGTAAAAGATGGATATAGACTTCTATATAATATTCGTAGACTAGTTAAACGCTTCAACGTTTGTCCTCAAGAGGTTGCAGTATGTACATTAGGGTGTGTCAATTTTATACCGGAAATTGATTTTTTTAGATTTTTAAAAGCCAGGGGTTACAAAAAAATACATTTTTGTATGCTGAATCCAAATTAACCTTCAGATTTTAGATTTGAAAAATTTAAGCTTGGTAAATTTTATGTTGAAATTTCAGCTAAAATGTTTGTTTTCGTAATTTAGGAATTAAATATAAAAATCATCGAAAAAAGAAAACTAATTTTAAGCAACGACAAATTTTATATTTTTATTAAATACTGAAATAGTATTAGCATTATATACAATGTCTAATCAATGTTATGTCAATAACAAAGTAGACAGTTTCACAGCTTACAGCAAAAAGTCAATTATTTCCAAACTTTACAAGATTGTACATGTCCTTCTTGCTCGCATGTCTACTCATTAGTTGTCTGCTGACGATCTGTGATCTAATATATCCATCCCTTCTTTCCTGACTGTAGACATGCTCACTTGCCTCTGTAACCATCTTGACACATCTCTCAATACTTTGAATGTGTGAGGGCCAGTCTGGGACTATCATTGGAGTGTGCAAAAATTGTTTGACTTGAGCCGTTGTTAAGCTACAAGTTAGAGGAGATTCATACATTTCAGAATCCCAATGAATGAGTTCAAGTAGGCTGCTGGCATCAGGATTGATCTCTGGTGTTACTCTTTGTCTTAAACTCATATCCCCCATCTGAACATTCTCATCTGCATTTCCTCTGATCTCAAGAATCTTTTCAATTCCAACTTTTCTTTCTTCCTCCTTGTCACTACAAATCAGTGTCTGGATGACAGCTTCAGAATGTGCATACCAGGCTGATCTTCTTACCACAAGCATCACTATCTGCATCACCTCTTTGTCTTGGCTTCTCAAAAGCTCAAGCTGAAAAAGAACATGTCTCGGACCATCAATCCAACTATGCTTTACTTTGATGTTAAACCAATTAGGCATAAAAACTCCGACTATAAATTCGACAATCATTTTCAAATTTCTAAGTGGCATATCTTTCAGACAATGATTGGAAACCCATAATCTGCAACATCTTAGAGCTGTAGTCAACCATCTTGAGTGACAGACAGGTCCAATCTGTAAGTTTGCAAGCCTGTCAGGCACAACACCAGATCTGATAGCATTAACAATCATGTATCCATAATACTGGTCTGTGCTGAGGTCATCAATCAAACTCTGTTTTAACTCAATCAATGGAGGACCAAAAGTTATCCTGATAAAATTTGGATTTATTTCCAGGTCTATTGCATCATCAAGCATCTTACCAATTGGTCCTGACCATCGATTATTGCTCAGTGTTTGACCATTCAATTTTTGAACAAGATGTCTCAATGGTAATTCATTTGTGTGAAGATCACATACCAACCAAACAAGATTTCTGCCAAGTGACACATCAGTAGCTTTATTCCACAAATTAACGATTTTTTCCTGGATTGTTACTTCACGAATAACAACAGGATATTTAAACTTAGAATTTGCTTTGGTCCACTGATAAAAGAGGGCAGTCATAATATCTTTGGCTAGTTCTTTTTGGTATAATTTTTTTTGTCCTTCTCGCTCAACTGCCTTAGCAGAATACGTATCTTAATAAATCTCTCACAGTTGGTAACTCTGAGGTAATGATCTCCCTGCCAGACCCCACATAATGACTAAGATGAGTGGAGGTCTTTCCTCTGGGAGGCCATAATCAGAATCAAAATAACAATGATAATAGTTCTTTAATTTATTGCAATATCTGAAAAACATAAAAACAAGTTAACAACATTTAATGTGCGTTAATTGTGGTCTAATTTTATAGCATACAATATTAGGTGAAACTGCAAAATCTGATTAAAGAGATGCACTTCAAGCTTGACAAATGCTGCTTTATGAATTTTTCATGATTTATAGCATAACTAACAATGGGGGTACATTCAACTTAAAGTCATGTTACCCGCTCTCCCGTAAATAATGTAGTATATTTGTAAAACTTTCACTCAAAATTTACCAAGCTTAAAGTGCATCCATTCAAAATTGAAAGACACCAACGGAAACAAGACATCAAAAAGCTTCTTTTGCCATGCCCTGGTTTTTTCAAAAAAAAACTTTTTAAAATTTGACACATCTTAATGTACATGTTCGCGTTATTGCAGTGTCTTTTTATTATATTTATTAGAAACCAAATTTTTTTATATTTGCAATTCAAATTATTCTTTGCATAAATCTGATAATTTATTGACAAAAATGTCGATCAAAGAAATGGACAATGATTTACACAAATACCTTAACGTCGTAAATCATCATTATCGCAAAAGTTTGAAAAGCGGTTTGTTTGATGCAATCATATTGACTGTAGTCCGCCAAATTAAAAGCGCTTTATTTCTCAATCTTTTCTAACAACAATTTTACTTTTGACATAAACTATATCATGTTAGAAACTTTGTTCAATTTATCTAGAATATTATCTTTGTATTTTGTATTCATAACCCACGTGTTATTCTTAACACGTGGAAATATTGGAATATTTGGACATTGAAGGAAAAGACAGAAGAGTTTTCAAAACCTTTATTGGGACCAATGAGCAGCGATGAAAGTTGTAACAAGATGACTAGTTCTGTCAAAATAAAAAAAGGTGTTAGGCAAGGCTGTGTATTCTTATGGGGAACAAAAATATTTTATTGTTATTAAGGATGTAAATATGATGTGAATGTCAAACGAAGGGAAGCTATGGCAAAAGATGCATATTCTAAAATGAAAAACATCCTCATCAACCGTAAAATCAGAATATCAGCAGAATTTAAACTGTTATTTTTACATTTTTTCTGTTCTCACTTACGGCTCTGAGTCCTGGACAATTTTAAAAAAATGGAAAAAAGGATTTATGCTGCTGAGGAGTTGTTTTTTGAGAAGAATTATGAAAATTAGTTAGACCTCTCATACTTCCAATGAAAATATATTAAAACAATCTGGTTACGAATGAGGAAATTACTACAAACAATCCGACGAGGGCAGTTAAAGTTTTTCGGTCACACTATGCAGAAGGAAGAAATGGAAAATCTAACAACTACTGCAAAGATTGCAGGGAGAAGAGATCCCCGTCAACAATTGATTACTTTCGTGAAATCATTGTTTCACTTGTTGAACAGAACATAACCCCTACAACAAAGAGTTAAAGATCGGGTTTTGTGAAGGTCGATGGTCGCCAATGTCCTGAAAAGATAAGGCACGAGAATGAGGAATAACTTGTTACTTGTAAATTTTGAAACATTTGGAAATTATGTTACCACAGACTCTACTTTCGAATCTTATATTTCAAAACTTTTTTAAAACTTGGACCTCTTACCACACAGGTTTTCATTGGTGTATTCATAGGTATTCAAAAATTCATCGCTGTTTGAATCATCGTTTAATTTTGAGAGTTTTGAAATTTTGAATGAAATAATTTTTTGGCTTTTTTTGTAAAGGCAACATACAAAATATCAAATTCGAAATTTTTTATTTCTAATGCAATTGCTTGATTTTTTTGCTGACTTTGTCTAATCTGATAATATCGACGAAAGAGTACCAGAAAAGGTTTAGACTTTCAAAACAATACACATACGCTAGACTTATGTTGAACCAATGCCTGACAAACGATACAAAACCATACGTTTATACTTTTACCCTGCCACGATATTAATGTGGTTATAATAACCTAGAACACTAAATTTAAAAGAGATGACGCTAAAAATAGCAAGTAAATAGAGTCGTTTACTTTGTTTTTAGCATTCAAATTATAAAATTTTTAATTTTTAAATTGTAAGCGCAGAAATTTTATTAAATTTGTAATAAATGGAAGTTCAGACTTTTGTAAGAGTGGAAGGTCGCAAGTACAACATAAGTGCTGGTCAAGGAGTGATTATCGGTGTTCTCACTAGTGGTCCAGATGCACAAGGTTACTAAATTGTGGTTTCTCCAACATTCTATAACACTGTAGTTAATAGGAATATATATAGTATATTCATATGTAGTATATATATATATATGTATATATATATAAGATATATATATAAGACCATAATTAATGCAGTAGTTTATGAAATCTAGAAATCTACCGAATTTCTAACTTTGAAATTCGGTAGATTTCATAAATTACTGCATATATATATATATATATATATATATATATATATATATATATATATATATATATAAATTGAAAAAACAAACTATAAATTGAAAAAACAAACTATAAATTGATTAATACCAATAATTTGGTAATATTCAGACTATTATATATATATATATATAATGCGACTTTTTCCATCTTAAAACTTATCGTGGTAAACGCACAGCTTCTAAAAACTATATTATGGCAGCTTATAAATTTTTAAACTTCTATCGTCAGTCACCTGATTTGCCAAATTATTTGATTTTCAAACTAAATTAATAAATTAAAAGATTGGCAAACATTTTATTCACCACACCGAAATATTCGAAGTGTAACGTTGGTAAATTTATTAAAATAATTAGATTCGGTGAATGAAATTGTAGTTTATTTTAACAATTTTTTATTGACGTACCTTTGATTGTCCTTTACACATACAAATTCATCATATCCAATTCGTCAAAACAAACCAACATTAATGTTAATATCACAAATTATAAATTTCAAAGTAAAATTTGTTTCAAAATGAAAAAAAAACACAAAGGAATAAATGCAGCGGTGAGAGCGGCGTTAAGGATGGGCCTCTACATGGAATGCAAGGTTTACTTTATTAAAGAAGGATTTCAAGGCATGATTGATGGAGGCAACAACATCGTCCCGGCTACTTGGGCCTCCGCGAACAATATTATTCAAATGGTTTTTTCCATTTTATGATCAATTATGCAAAATTTAAAAAGTTAAATTGTAGTTTTCTTATGCACCATTTGCAGGGAGGTACAGTCTTAGGGAGCTCGCAGAGCAACGAATTTCATGAGAGAGCAGGCAGATTAAAAGCTGTTTACAATTTAGTGAACTTGGGAATAACGAACTTGGTGGGCATCGGTGGTGAGGGAACGTTGTCTGCCCTCTTCGTTCTGAAACAAGAATGGCACCAACATATCGTCGAGCTCATTGAATCCAGTTATTCATTATTTTAAAAATAATAAAACCTCAAAAACTCGCAGTCACGTTTATCTGGCATTTCAAAGTTTCCAATATATTTAAGAAGATATGTTTTAATGGCCCTACATTAATATTAATTTATTTGAAAATTTTGTTGAACACAAGTCAGAAACTAAATATATTGTTAAACAGTATAAAAATAGATAAAAAAAATATTCATCATAATATAAAATGTTTAATTAATTAATATAAATTTAAACTAACTTTTTCAAATATCAATTTCAAATGAAAAAATATTTTTTGCGGCTTATGCACAAGAAATTGTACTATTTTTGCTTTCACCTTAACACAGTAAATAGGTTAAGAAAAAAAAGTCAACTAATTGAAGCCCCAAAACTAAAATTTTACAAAAATTTTTAAATTTAAACATTTAAAATGCCAATAAAATCAGACATCACATTTTGCTCAGGTCAACTGTGAATGATTAAAATCTTCGGACACCGGTTTTTCTTCTTCCTCTCGACTCTGAGTTGCTTATAAATCTTACTTACATAGTTACGAATTAAATTTTGTGCCAAAATTTGTCAAACTTCAATTTTTGGAAATTACAGTTTTTTAGGTTAATAAATGATATTTCATTTCAATATAAGCCTTTCTGTTAAGCAAGGTGGTTTTTCAAAATATTTTTTGTCATCACTTATTGCATTCAGACAGGATTTCGCCCGATAAAGGAGCGGCTTGTAGCAACCTGAACATAATGGGCATCATGGCCTCCATTGAAAATGAATTCTGCTCCACAGACATGTCCGTTGGCACAGATTCCGCTCTCAACAGAGTTATGGAGTCGTTGGATAGCATCCAAACTGCGGCAATTAGGTATTTCAATAAGGGCTATTAATTAATTATTATTTATATATTGTTTGTTTTATATATATATATATGTGAGTGTGTGAGTGTGATGTACGTAAATTAAGTAAATAAATATATATATGGGGCTTTCTGAGAAAAGAAGGTCACGCTTTGATCGAGGGCCAAAAAATGTGAGACTTTGTGAAAGAGAGGGAGTTTTGAAAAAGAGCTCATGCGACGTTTAGCTTTTGCATTATTTCAATTTCGTTAATAAATTAATGAAAATTTTGTTAGATAATCTTTGTCAAAAAATGTCTTCAGAATGCATTGAAAAAACTTGCTTCTTTGTTGCTTAAATGTACGCTTTTTTCATTTTATTCATATTGGTGAAAATTGACCTGCTTTAAATTAAGAAGGGGTTAAAATATGGGCAGTATAAACAGGAGGAGGGGTGGGAGTTAAAAAACACAAAAACTACGTAACATCTTTTATAGTCAGCCCCTATGTTTGTATGTATGATTTGGTGATCTTGAGACATTTGTTGTTATTGCCCAGCAGCCAGCATAGATGTTTCGTTTTGGAAGTTGTCGGGAGACACAGCGGGTTTGACCTTTTATGAATCACTTGCTTAACTTATAAAATATTTTTCATAATATTCTTGTACAAAAATTTCAAATTTTGGAATAATATTTTGAAAAACCAAATTATACTTGAAAGATATTTGGCATTATCAGCCGCTCTGGCCGCAGAGGCTGATTGGTTGTTCATTCCTGAATATCCCCCAGAGAAGGGCTGGGAAGAAATGATGTTCAACAAACTTTTGATGGTCCTCACGATTTCTTCATTGAAGCCGCTTGTGGAAATAACTGTTAATAAGAATAATTTTATTGCAGGCACGTGATAGTGACCAAAAAATGAACTTGGTCATCATCGCCGAGGGAGCTATTGATCATACTAAGAAGCCAATATCAGCCGTTCAAGTGAAAGAAGTTAGATCACATTTAAATTTATTCATTTATTTCATTTTATTTTTTGGATATGTAACTTTTTGAGTGCCTGTGTGCAATGTGAGTAACAAAATATTTCTCGATTGAAGATAATCTTTCAAGTTTAAACGTGAATTTTTAGTAATAAAAGTGTGCTGAATGAACATATTTTTGATTCCAGTTAATAAAGGACAATGTTAAGTGCGACACGAAAGTTACGGTGCTCGGACACGTGCAGAGGGGAGGCTGTCCATCAGCATTCGACAGAATATTGGTTATTTGCAAATTAAATATTGCAATTTAATAATTAACATTATGGGTTCACGCTGATCAATATAACTGAAAAATTTCAAACACCTGCTTCATTCGGGTCACGTGCTTTTTCGAATATAAAACAGGAAGTGGTAAAGTTCTAAATATTTTCAGTTAAAAGTCACGCACGATAATGTTGTTTTGGATACATTTTTTATTTCGTGTTTCTAACATGTTCAGCTCAATCAGCTGGCCAGTCTTTATAGTACATAGCTGTGAAACTAATAAATTAAAATTCTGTATAATGATATAAAACAAATTTGCTTACATTTAAACAGGCAAGCCGTCTCGGAGCAGAGGCTGTGATGTGTTTGTTGGATTCCTCAAAAGAAACCATGCCGATGGTAGTGGCTTTGCAGGGAAATCAGATTGTTAGACATTCGCTTGCTGAAACGCTGGCAAAAGTATTATTTTCATTTTGATTTGGTTTTGATAGAATGTCATTATTGTTATAACTTTACCTGAATCAAACGTTACTTGTTTTACAACTAGTTCAAATCGATAAAGAACATGATGGAAGAGTTTGACTACGAAGGTGTTCTGAACACTCGTGGATTGTAAGTTTGCCTATTTTTAGAATGTCTTCTAAATTGCTTCACCATTTAAATATTCATTTGAAGGCTTTTCAAAAATATGCTCAACATTTATTGCATGCTGTCTAGCATCTCACCTCCTGTCAGCCACAACGTAAAAGTATTTACAAATAATTTATGATTGAACGATGAACATATTAACAAATAAATGATTGAATGAATGGACGATGATGAACATAGTACTAGTATTGTTGGGTAGCATTGATTCGTTCGTGAAAATTCTATTAAAATTAATCGATGCACGAGCCAACCACATTAATTTTGAAACTCATAGCCCAAAGATTGTATCAAAACATTTCTTAAATTAAAAATATAATCGGGATTTTTAGAATTTTTTTTATTAAATTCTGATAATTAAAAAAATTAGTCAGAAAACTTATTCAAAAAGTTGAACAACACTCTAATAAAGATCTGTTTAAATAAAATTTGCATGTTTACAATGGCGTATATTTAAAATGTTGAAGAACAAATATGTGTTTGGAATAATTTGCTTGGGTGTACCGTCCTGTGGAATAAATTCATCGTTGAGAACTTTTGTAAGGTGCGTCAACAAATCCGGATACTCCGTGTACGCCATATACCACGGCTTTGAAGGACTCATGCAGAATCAAGTGAATTATTACTAAATTAAATTATTATTTATAAAATAATAATTATTGAAAAATCATTTAAATTTGTTGTATGATTATATTTACATAAATGGGTCACAATCAACGTTACTTTTCATTCAGTGTTGACATGCAAAACTTTTAAAGGTGACGTCATGTCACGTTTAAAAACCTACTTTTTATTTAATAAATGACAAAACCTATCACTTATCTGGCTTATTATAATGTACTTGAAAGAGGTGTTATAATATTATTTTATTAGGACAGTTATAAAGATATTTTCCAGCACCTTGAAAGCGCAAAGCTGCAAAAAATCACAAAAAAGAAATGTTTTTAGACTTGAAAAATGCCGACAAAAGGACGCTGAGCTATCGCAGATGCTGTGGAAGGCTGTTCCACACAGAGAAACCTATAACGGCAAAGTCTCTTTCACTCATAACTAATTTACAACTTGGAATATTTGTTAAGTATGGATTATTTCAACAAAGGAAAGTAAGGGTCAGAATCCTAGGCAATGAAGTATTGGAGTAATGTGATCTAAATTTGAACCGTCCACCCGATACAATTTTTGCTGTTTGATTCTGAATCGACTACAGTTTTCCGATTTGGGTTTTTGATATGCCGTAAAACGGAGTTGCAGTATTTCAATCTTGAGCAAACAAGTGTTTATCTGGGGTGAATCTTTGTTCAAAGACTTTCTGACCAGTCTCAAACCTCGTAACTGTAGCAACATTCACGCGATAATGCTTTGACGTGAGATTGCCTAGACATATTGGACTCAAATACAACCCCTAATATCTTGGACTATTTACATAATTCAATTTCTATTCTATTGACAAATCTTATATCTTATATAAAATATATCTTATTTTATAACTTCTTAACCAACCCCGACACTCGTTTATTCAAACAAATGACGAAGCATGGGAGATACAGAATAAGAATAGAAGATTTTGAGTTCGCGTGCTTTGGCGCGAGCTGGTAAGATGCCATTACTGCCTATATCATTTATTTGAGGGCATAGAAAAATTGTCTGTATGATGAGAGATAAAGACTTGGTTAGATTAGGTTGAATTATTAACATGGAATGTATGCATTGAATAGGCTGAATTGTTTACATGGAATGTATGCATTGAATAGGTTGAACTGTTAACATTGGAGGTATATGTTGAATAGGTTGAACTGTTAACATGGGAAAATGTACAGGGCTGGACGAAAGATGGAGGATGCAACATTGGTTGCAGCACGTTAGAACTTCTTTTGAATCTCTTCAATAAACTTTTTAATGTCATTTTTAACGATAGTTAGTTATTTTTTTAAATTAATTTAATTTCGTAAACTTTCATTATAAAAAGTAAAATAAATTAAATTTCAGGTATCTAATAGACCAATTTGGAGTCGACAAAATAGCTTTACAGATGAGAAAATTCAAAATCGCAGCTTTGCTTCTAGTTGGAGGATTTGAAGTAAAATAGTTGTATATACCTGAACATGTTATATAATATATATACGATATATACATATATATGTATATATATATAATATATACTGGATTAAGACTGCCAGAAATGCAATTATTGATGAAAATCACAGCATGTTCGGCATTAGTTAACTTCCAATTTAACTTTTCGATTTTTCTAACGGTTAACCGTAAATCATTGCATTTTTGGCAGTCTTAATATGATTTACGATCGACCGTTAGAAAAATCGAAAAGTTAAATTGGAAGTTAACTATTGCCGAACATGCTGTGGTTTTCATCAATAATATAATATATACACACACACACAATATAAAATTTATATAATTGTAATCACAAAAATGGCAGTATATCTATAATAACAGATGTTTTTTATTGACAATAGTATTGAACATTAATTATTTTTCACCCTATACAATTAAGTGGAAGTCTGCTCTATGGTTTTTGCTTTTTTAAAAGTATGTATAATATAACAAAAATATGGTAAAAACTAATTGATTTATTATTACTTCATTTTATTCAATTGACGAGGCTTGGCGTATTCACGGAAACCGACTGACGAATGTGTCCTTCCTTTGTATAAATGAGAACTTAACCTGAAATTTACAATTTATCGGGCTCATTTATATTGATGTGTAAATATTCTAACAAGTTTAAATCCCTCACAAAATCGAAACGTGGATTTTTAATAAATCCTTGCTACTAAACTAGCGAGCACTAGACCCCCAAGACAATCCTACCTCATCTTTACTCTGTATGAAAATAGTATTAAGTATTAATAAGAATGTTCGTTGTTATATTAGTTAATTATTCATTGAACCATCAAACGATGTTAAGGCTTTCCATGCAGCTCTCATAATGGGAGAATCTCGTGCGAAACACATTGAATTTTGCATTCCAATATGCGTCATTCCTGCCTCACCTTTCAATAATCTGCCTGGCACCGAGGTTTCAATCGGTTCAGATACCGTCCTGAATAAAATCACTGAAGTATGTTATCTCCGTTCGTTTAGTATTAATTTCCATTGATGATTTTTTCCATTTAAGTGAGGTTAATTTTTTAACAGATTTCAACAGTTTTTCTTTATAAAACAGAAAATTCGCTCGACATTATTTTTCGTTGGTAAATAAATTTAATTATATATTAACACATTAACGTTTTTAATTAATAATTTTTTAAACATTTTAACAAATATTTTATCATGAAGCTAAAAATATTTTAATTCTAAGCCAATAACGACGGGGTTAGGCTAGGTTGCAAAATCGTTAATATCTATATTAACGGTCGGTAAAATTGCAAGCTGTTGATATTTATACTACTAAATCAAATCGAATGTTGTTCAGTCAAATCAAAAGATAGAAATTATTAAATGCTGATGAATTTATTAATTGATAATGAATGAAACTAGAATTTAAATAAAATAACAGTCTTTCCAAGAAAATCCCTGAAATTGTTTTTTAATTTGTTAAAAATAAAAAATAGAATTTATTGATCATTTAAATTTCATTTTGTTAGCTAAAATCTTTATTGAATAAGTTTAAGTCCATGGTTGAACAATTAGAAGTGTATACTTTCGATTCGATGGATCAGCAGAACAGACCCTGTCAGGCGAGTTTCAGATAATTTCAAAGTATTAATATTTCATCAATCAAAAGTAGTTTAAATGTTGAAACATTAGACCACTAAAGGACAACTAAGACAATACTGTCACAAATAATGAAGAATTCCTCAACAACTACTTTGGATCTGTACCGACGCAAGGAGGTATAGTATGCATCCCAGAGCCTGAGATACTGTTTGAAGTAAAACAAGAACAAGTACTCAACAACATAAATATTACAGAAGAAACAGTAGTGAAAATGTTAGAATCTCTTAGAGAAGATAAAACACCAGGAATATACGAACTGCATCCCAGGTTTAGGAGCCACTCTAACAGAAAAATTTACTGAATCCATCAAGACGGGTGAAATGCCAAGAGACTGGAGAGATGCCATTGTCACATCAGTATTCAAAAAAGGAAGAAGGAGTGCTATCAGCAACTATAGACCAGTCAGTTTAATATGTATACTATGGAAAGTTCTTGAAAAAATAGTGAAAATGAACATGGTTGAACATCTGATGAATAACAAAATAACCGAAAACGGCCAAACACGGATTCATGAAAGGACGTTCCTGTCTGTCAAATCTTTTAAATTTTTTTTAGGAAGTGTATGCAAACGTCGACAGTTAAAACTCCGTGGATATATTCTATTTGGATTTTGCGAAAGCGTTTGATAAAGTGCTACACAAACGATCATACAAATTGATTACCTAGAAAGAAGAAACACCGTTTACCAGATTTTTTTTCGACTGGAGAATAGAATAGGATTACGAGGCCACAGATGCAAGCTCTTCAAAAAATAGAGAGTGCAGTCAAGCAAAGATTCTTCAGCAGTAGAGTGATAAACACTTGGAATAATCTGAGTGATGAGAAGGTCTCCGCGGAATTAATCAACAGTTTCAAGATCAAGCTCGGAAAGTAAGGATATTTGGACACTTTTCTCGCAGTGGTTCTCACACAGACTCTAATCTACTCAACCACTTCAAACCCTGTTATGTTATTTATAAAAAAAATTAATTAAAAATTTGAACATATTGTAAGACGCCACGATGATTACTTAAATAGTTATGCGACCGAACGCGTTTGTCTGCAACCGGCAGTAAAAATCGCGTGTTCTTATTTGAAACCATCGGAGGGAAATGTGGATACCTGACCACGATGAGTGCCCTTGCCACCGCTGCCGACATCGCCTACATCTACGAAGAATCTTTCGGAATTAAAGAAATTATGGTTAGCTTATATATAGATCTGTGTATATATATATAAATCGTATATGTATAGTATTTTTTTATTACTATACATCTCTGAAAAAGCTGAGCTGTTGTACATGCACACAAATTCAATGTTTCCGTGCATAAATGTGCAACAGATGCTGCAAACAAAGTGCCGAAACAAAATTGGAGTGCAACTGACTGCTCGTTTTATTAAGCACAATTAAATTTCATTAGTCAGTTTAAATGTTCACTCAACATTCTGTTCAATTAATAATTTCCAACTTACACCACAATGTACCAAAACATTAGAGATGCGCTGAATTGTGAATATGGCCGAAGAACAAATAGTCAAAACCGAAGGACGAATACCAGAAATTTTAAAAACTGCCGAGACTGAAGCCTAACTTTAAATTTCAGCAGAATGCTTTGCTAGACTAAACATTTGGTGTGTCTCTACAACACATGCTATTTTTGCCAAAATCATTCTCTTAAAAACCTTTTATTCTTTAATTTACGCACCAAAAGGACTTTAATTCTGAGTTGGGCATCTAGAGACATAAAATATTGAAAATATTTGTTCAAGTGTATTTAAGAAAAGTATTGAAATCATATTGAAAAATAATATTTAAATTCCAAAAATTGTCTGATGGCTTAGAGCGCCTGGTTATTTGTTGAGGAAGCTTAATTTCACAACAGAGAACCGCTCGTCATAAGTTTGATTGCAAGATTTGCAATTTTCTTCTCGATATTACATTTTTCCTATGTGTTGGCTTAACAATGAAAAGCGCCGTTGGACAATCCGAAGATGATTGATGACTGATATTGATTGTAATGCACAACTCTGCAGACTGACCTTGTACAAGTAGCTATCAAAGTCAGGCATGGCTCCAACATTGGAATTGTTTTGATGTTAGTAACTTCTTAAGTAACATTTTCTTAAAATTAAATGAGCGATAATAAAATAATAATTAAATGAGTGATAATGAAACGTTCAAGGTCAGACGAGTCGCATCCGTCGTATAATTTGGATTTTCTGTCGCGCGTCTATTCACATGAGGGCCGATCGGCCTTCATCACGAAGAAAATCGCTCTCAAAGAAATTCAAGACGTAATTTCTTCTAAATATCTTATTTTTTCAAGAATAATAAAATGCAATGATTGAAATGTATTGTTTAATAGTATTCGTTATATAAATGTGATTGTTTTGTTTTGTTATTTAAATTTTTTAATTGTTTTCATTGTTTTATCTTTTAATAACGTACCTAAAAGAATAATCGATAGTCGTTAAGTTAAGCTGAATCAAAAAATTAACAACAGGTTAATTATAGAAAGTGATTACAATATGTTGGATAGTAAAATTTTTAAATGACAACAAATGAAAACATTAGCGAAAGTATTGTTCACATTGTTGAAGACTTTGTATTGGTGATACGAAAAAATGGCAGATTGACTTGGATAAAATTTTAAAAAAAAATTTTTATTACGACAACTTTATTAATTTTCTTGCTTTTTAGTGAAACATGTATGTTTTTACAGACAAAAACAAGTATTTTTAGATAATTTTTAAAAACTTTTTAACCTGGCGAGCATTTAAATTCATTTTAATTCAATCGATCGCATAGAAATAAATGATCAGTATGTAGCTTGCCTGCTTAACGAATCCATTCAGACAAAATTTTTTATTTTGACTCAGGGGGGAAGACCTTCTCCTTACGATAGATTGCTGGCCATAAAACTGGCATCAAGAACTGCAGAACATCTGATTGCTCAGTTGAATGAGAATTTGACTTCATCAGGTAACACCATCAATTTGTGTGTGACGTCATCAACTTGTGTGTGACGTCATCAACTTGTGTGTGACGTCATCAACTTGTGTGTGACGTCATCAACTTGTGTGTGACGTCATCAACTTGTGTGTGACGTCAATAATTTGAATGGCGTTGGTAATTACAAGTGGCAGCAAATTTTGATTGATTTGTCGATTTCTATAGGTACTAATTTAAAATTAAACGATGTTTTTAATGATGGCACCATAGATTTCAGTAATATTTGTTAACCTTGAGCCTCGTTCCTAAAAAAGTTAGTAAGATGAGACATACAGAGATGTAACTTCTGAAGAGCAGGTGGGGTGAACACGTTGAATAGCGACACGTGCACGCTGGCCGGGTTAGTCAAACATCAGATCGACTTCACGCCTGTCCAGGAGTTAAAAAAACAATACAACTTCTAGTCAGTATTTTTAAATTAACTTTAAATGAGGTGGATAAAAAAAAAATAAAAAAGGGCTATTGTGTCAACCCGACTTAATTGCACTTATATTAATTTTTGTTTAATAAGTTTTTTGCAATTACATTTTACGATTTACTAAATAACATTTTAAACTAAATTAAAAATACTTTTATAAAAAACTGGGTGAACACCGAAAATCTGCGAGGGGTTGGCACAACTAATTTTCCAAAATGAGTAGCCGAAGTCCTGTTATTTTCACTGAGCGGTAACGACGTTATCAGCAACGCATCTTTTAAAGCAAAAATATGAGTTCAACTTGTCACTCTTTGTGTTGGACTGAGAGTTATGTTCGCCAATAAATTGGGGGTAGAGGGTTGTTCTTCTCTCGTGTGGCCTAAAAAAATTAAAAAAAACTGTTTAATCTTTTATATCAACAAAGTTTTTCAACTTTTAACGGCGGTTTATTTTAAGATAGAAATAAAATAATCTGCACCGTTTATTTGAGAGGAAATATTTTTTTTGTTGGCAATGAATTTTTAAAAAACTCGATCAAAAATTGCTCTTTTTATTTTGAAAAATTGGGTGTTATTGCTTCTTTCCTGCCACGAGGGCTTCAGAACTCAAAATCCGGCCCTAGACATATTAACTTGCTTAAAAGTTTATAATTCAGACAATTAATCGTAATGAAATCATTTTCATGGTACGGTCATATATATATATATATATATATATATAATTATATATATATATATAATTATATAATTTTTGACCGAGTTTTTTAAAAATTCATTGCCAACAAAAAAAATATTTCCTCTCAAATAAACGGTGCAGATTATTTTATTTCTATCTTAAAATAATATAAATTAAAATATATATAATTATATAATTATATATATAATTATATATATATAATTATATATATATATATATATATATATATATATATATATACGGCCGTATACTCATTCAACATTTATCTATTAGATTTGGATCAAACATAATAGAACAATTTTATTTGCTAAATCTGACTGTGAGTTAAAAAGGTGCATTTTTTCATTTCTCATCAAAAACTTTCCAACCATGGCGGGTGACAGCAACCGCAACACTCGAGAGACGTGGTGGATGCACCTCAAAAGTCTGGCCAAGACCCTGGTGCACTACGACCCACTCTTCATTCAAAGCCAGACAGCATCCAATGCCGACACCAAGCGAGAAGATATTAAGTTAGAAACCAAAATGCATTCCAGGGCCCAATAACATCTGCAGCTGTTTGTAACGTTCCTTTACATTTTGTTCTGCTATCATACGTAATTTCAAATTTGATCGTTTTCAAAACGTTCTTTAGTTCAAATATAACTAGAACTCGTAATTTATTTAATAAAGTTTAAATTAATTAAGCTTTTATAAATAATATGTTAACATTTGGGCTTTTTTAAACTGATTTGCGTTGGCAAGTTTGCCCCTATTAACTATTGATTTTAATGTTTGTTAATTTTACGTTGTATGTTTTCTTTGAGAAACTTTTTGTGATAAGTTTGGTGTTTCATTACAAGTGACATTTTAAATTGTGTCAACAATTTGCTTGAAATCAAATAGAAAAAATCGAGGTATTTATTTTTTTCCGATTTTCGATATTTTCACGCTGCTCCGTTCATCTCACGTGCAGAGTTTAACACAATTGAAAGAATGGGTTTCCACCACGTTGACTTCCTGATAAAAATAATTTTAAAATCAAGCCTATATTTCCCATTTTTTAAGTGCAAATAAAAATAAATAAATGTCGAATTGCAGCAAACACTCACGCACACAAACACACATATAACACACACATCACACACAACTCACTCATGTGCATTTTTCAGAAGTAACAGTGTTTATCGCTATAGAATTCATCAACTAATTCATAATTTATTCAGGTTGCTAGCAAACTTTTCGATCATTCAGTCTTGCTATTTTCTTTCATTACTTGCATTCTACATAAAAAGCTTCGGCAGCATCGTGATCATCAGTTCAGAAAATTTGAAGATTCAAATAATGTATCTAGTATAAATGGTGCACATGTACAGTTTTTACTATTGTTCGTTTTCTACATGCATTATCAGCTTCATCGTTGGTGAAATGTTGGCTGTGGTTTGCTGGTTGGTTGGTTTCGACAAAAAAGGAATTTGATTCTAGTATGTGATGCTAACTTTGTGATGTTATTTAAAGTTTTTGTTGTTGTTGTCGGGTTCGGTTGTGTACATTAATCAGGCCAATCTTTATTTCGCCTTTGTTTACTCTATTCTGAGTTTCATCATCCAAACTTACCGATTGAGCAATTAAAAAGTATTATTTATATAACTTTATTTCAAGGTTGAATTGGCTCAACGCTATAATTTTTCACGATCAGTTGAATAGTATTAGTAGGAAAGATAAATTTCCAGTTTGAATATTTCGTCGTTGTTAACGTTAAAGGTATATTATTTTCCATTCGTTTTATTGAGTGTTCCTTCAAGTAGAACGTTCAACAAACTGTTTATATATAAGTCGTAGAACCAGGCAGGAGAGCAATGTCCAACAGCATAGATGGAGTGCTGAGGTTTTTTTTGAAACAAAAATGCTTCATGAAATTAAAATCGTAAATAATACACAAATTGGTTCTATGAAATAAAATATTCAAGAGTTATCATGATAGAAATCAACTACGTTTTAAATTTTTATTTTAACAGCTGCTTTGTTGTTCCGATCATAAAAGTTCCGTGTTGAACATTCAAACGAGGATGATGAATGATGGGAACGATTACTGAAGCATCGCTCCGTCCGTTCATGTGTTCCGGCAGATGAATGTTTCACTTGCCATCCAATGTTTCAACGAAATAAAAAAAAATGGGGAACGATTTTTAATTTTTGTAAACAAAAACAGATATCTGTTTATAACGGCTTTTTTTAAAAATAATTTGGTTGTGTGAGTGTTTGTTTTAAAGTTCCTGCTCTCAATTGGTTGGATCTTAAAACATTATTACTTTCATTATTATATATTATTATTATTATTAAAGGTCAAAAAAGGTCACTCTCTTTTGCGCGCTTGTTTCAGAGTTTTCAACGACAAACACAAAAAGCACATATAAATACGCGTGTTTAAATATAACACGAGGGTGCCAAGCTCCTTGTACGAGCCATTTTTCAAAATTTGAATTTTTTCGAGCCGCGTATATATACGTTTTAAAAAAGCATTCAAATGAAGTCTTTCAAAGAACCCAACCTAAAAACTTCATTGAAACTTATATAACTACCTTTTAAAAGTTATTCATAGTCATAGGTGAGCCGAATTATCAATATAACTACGGTGTGCAGCGTGGTCGGCTCACTCGACAGTGGATGAACTTTGGTGCTGTGTGTAGTTACTTGTGACAACTTTCCTACTAACTACTTGCATATTTAAATTTATACTGTGCTGACAGTTATGGAGAGAAAGGGAGAGAGAGAGAGTCTAAAACGAATAAAAAATCTTAAATAATCTTAAATTTTTCGTAGTGGAATCAAATTTCCCAATGCTTCCTTCTTTTTGCAGAAACGTTTTACAATGAATTGTTTCAAGCAATTAAAATTGTTTTTTATTTAATTTTGCAATTATTTTTTTATTGATGATGATGATCACTTAAAAGCATTATTCGGTTCACTTGTTTCTACAAACATTATTAGAGAGGCGCATGAAATTATTTAAGTTGAAATTAAAAAGCCGGCAGGATGGATTCCTTGGAGTTCGTAACAGATAAGAAACGATACAGAAGAGGTGAAGGCAAGAACGTGACGATAGCCATCGTTAATACAGGACAAGATGTTCCAGGTAACCTTTTAATAGGATGAAAATAGTTTCAAACTGATGCATGAGACAACTTGTTTGCGCAGGTTGCAACGCAGCTATACGAGCTTCTGTACGGATGGCTTTGTTTCTTGATTGCCAAGTTTATTTAATCAAAAATGTTGGTACACCTTAATTTTGTTCTTTTGTTTTGTAGAAAGTGAATTAATTATAGAATGCTAGATGAAACTTGCCGATTAGCAGTAATAAATCCATGAAATTTGTTGACTAGAAAAAAGTTCGAAAAAGGTTTTAACGTTAATCATGAATAAAACTTCAATTCAACTTCAATAATTGTGACAACTTCTATTATATTCTTATTTATTAACGGAAAATGTGTTTTTATTTATTTATAATTTATCATGCACTGTTAACTTCTTGAAGTTGTGTTTATGAAATATAAATTGAAGACGTTTGTAAAAATGAACAATTAAATGTTACCTGATGAGTGAATTCATTGAGTGAACTTAATGAATGAACTTATTGAGTGAACTTGATGAATGAACTTACGGAGTGAACTCAATAAATGAACTTAATGAATGAACTTATTGAGTAAACTTGATGAATAAACTTACGGAGTGAACTCAATAAATGAACTTAATGAATGAACTAGGGCTTCGAAGGTATGACGAGTGGTGGGGAGAATTTTGTTCGAGGCACGTGGCAGTCAGTAACAAGGAGGGTTGGCGAAGTTGGTCCATGTATAAAATCAATGTAGCTGCTATTGTGATTCACAAATTTTTTTTTACACCATTCATCAGAGTGGATCATTTATTGGAAAAAGTGATGGGAAGAGTTTTCATTCGTACGAAATGAGGTGCAATGCTGTTTATAATCTGGTTTCAAAGGGCATAAATAAAATTATCTTTCTTGGAAGTAATGGATCAATGGAAGGTATGAACCAACTTTACAATGAGTGGCAGACTCATTTGGCACATCTTGTAGAAGCAGGTTGGTCGCATGTTTTTGTGTATATGTTTTTTCATGGGCGACTTTTTGCTAGCCACGTCTTCAGTCATTTTAAGCAAGTTTTGTGCAATTTTGAGTCAAACTATTTATCATCATTAATTAGTCTTTCCAATGGCTAGCTCTATAAACTCGAGATTCAACTAACCGGCTGCAACATTAGGGATTATTATAAGAATTAATGCACCGAAAACTATTTGACAAAGATAGTAGGGGTCATTGAAAGATTAATTGGAAGAATTGATTGAACGCTCGTCAGGTCGTTTGATATCAGAGAAGGCCCAACAGTACGAGCATATTAATTTGGTTGGCATAATCTGTGCGGTGGAGAACCACATGTGTTGCACTGATATGTCGCTTGGCAGTGATTCAACACTACAAAAAATTATCGATAGTCTTGACAGCATCGAAAGCACAATAAGGTTTGGCTTATTTTGTTTTAACTCAAAAACTGATATTGTAGTTTGTGTCTAATTCTTCGGCCACATCGCTTCTCATCATTTGGCTCAAATAAACTTGCGGATCTAGATTTTAAGGCAGTTTTGTGGCATGGTGTTGGGACTTGTCTCATACCTGAAGTCTCTTTTTTTAAATCTTCTTTCCAATGAAGTTTCACGGCTCATACTGCGGTTGGTATCCGGGTTGGTCAAATCACAATATGTTTATATTGATGACACTACTTTCGAATAAATAATAATCTTGTTTCACAAGGTTCAATGTTGACATTTATTTTGTCGTTTGGTCCATTATTGTAAAGACCATAGTATTCAACCAATGGCAACGTATTTTCAGTCAGTGATAACTTATTAAACACAATTCAGTTTGCAAGAATGCTTGTTACTCGTCATAGATGGAAAACTTTGCGGGTTAGAAAGTGTTAATTGCTGAAAAAATCGTTCAAAAAAGGAATTTCTTTACACTTTAATTTAGAATTATTTCAAAAATTATTTTATCACTTTTTGTAACATTAAATCACATTATTATTTTCAAAACTTAAAAGACATTTGGCGTTGTCAGCGGCTCTGGCGGAGGAAGCCGATTGGTTGTTCATTCCAGAAAATCCTCCAAGAAAGGGGTGGGAGGAAAAACTGTGCAACAGGCTGTCGAAGGTCTGCAATCAGCCATGTTTTATTCTTTTCAATTTAATGTGACGTAGTATGTTTTAGATTGGAATCACAGTAAATTTACCCATAAAAATTGTTACCTGATTTTTTTCTAAATAATTTGACTATACCCAAGATCATTCAGTTTTTTTTTATTTCCATTGATTAAGATGCGATTTGCTGGACAAAGTTTGAATATGATTATTTTGGCTGAAGGGACGAAAGATAGCGAAGGAAATGTTATTACGCAAAGCATGTTGAAGAATGCAAGTTCAACTATTTGATTCTTTAGTTGAATTTAAAAAAATTTGTGAAGTTATTTCATTTACTTGATTCATAATGTGTGGTGTACTTGATTAACCTGTTAGTTGATAGCAGAAGCGTTGAACATGGACACGATGGTAATCAACTTCGGACATCTCATTCAGACTGCCAGACCGTCAGCTTATGATCGAATCATTGTAATGACTTCATTTCGTATTGCCCTCTTTATTTTTCAATCTGTTATTATCTATTATTAGTAATAACAAAGTTTTAAAATACTTATTAGTTTAAAAAAATCTTATATTTTATTTTCTCATTTTTTTTTATCTTTTATTTTATAATCGGTCAGCGAGTTAGCTTAGTCGGTAGAAATCAGTCTCGCGCTATAATTACGCAATGTCCTGCTTTGAAACCCAAAGATTATCATACGCCATGAGAGTATGGTGCGTTCGTGCGTGCATACTGCATATAAATGTTACTTTGTGCGGATGGTACAGCCTTTGTGGCACAAATGTCTTATTATAAGTAGTACTGCATAAAATGTAAGCAATTTTGCGTTTGTCAGGGCTGCTTAATAAAAACAAAAACTAGCACAGATAGGCTAATAACTTCTCGAAACAAAAATTATTTTATAAAAATATTTATAAATTTAAAATCCAATTTTGTCATGTAAGCAATCGTCAAGACTATTTGTTGCAAACAGGCAACACGCCTCGGAGCAGAAGCTGTTCTCTTCATTTTCGGTGCACACGAAACAATTCCGCAAATACTGCTGATCAATGGAACAACTGTCAATAAAATGCCAATGACCGACGTCATCGCAAGGGTTAGTTCGCAATCTGGGTCTTCAAGAAACTGATCATGTTGATTTTGTTGATTTTGTTTTAGTACCATCAAACGGAGAAAGTGGTGGAAAAAACAGAAAACGGTGAAATATCAAAAATACGCGGACTGTACGAAGCTATTTAGTTAATGTTTTTATTTTTAATTATATTTTTAATACTTTGAAAAGCATTTAAATTTTGGATGCTAGTTTATAAAAGTTGAAGTTTATTCAAAACCAAGGCATTAAGTGTCCGGTATTGTTCAAGGTTTTATTAATTTTTTATTTCAAGTACCTCATTTGGAAAATGTGAAAGTTATTATTAAAGCATGCCAAGTTTTGCCTTCCAAGGATCTTTCATAGCTACACAATTGAGTGTTTCAACTGTTCTTTTCGTCTTGTTTAAAAATCTCCAACTTGCAGCAAATGAGAAATATTTTTCTGGCCAAGTTTCAATTATTTGACACATCAGCAATAAGTCACTGCTTTCATCTGTTCCTAACTCGACCTTTAAATATTTCCAAAGATTCTTGAGTTTTGTAACATGAAGTTCTAGCCAAACATATCTGGC